TCGTTTTGTTTGGCGGTGAGGCCGACGGGAGTGGCGACGAAGGATTGAGAGGGGGATCCTGCAAAATGAGAGGCGCAGAAGGATACACGTCAGGCTCGTGCACTTGGTGAGAAATAGCATGCACAGGCGAGACAACATGCATATTATTAGTGATAGAGAAAGTTATCTGCTCCTCGCCATCTCTCAAGACCAAAGTCCCATCACAGACATCTATGAGGGCCCTGGCGGTGGCCAGGAAGGGCCTTCCTAGAATAAGGGGCACTTCTGTGTCTTCATTGATGTCTAAGACAACAAAATCCACAAGATAACAAAACCTGCCAACCTTAACCAGGAGGTCTTCCATTATACCCCTAGGATGAACCACTGATTGGTCAGCTAATTGAATACTCATTCTAGTTGCGCTGGGTTCACCTAGGCCTAGTTTTTTGACAATTTGTATGGGATAACATTGATACTAGCACCTAGATCTTCCAGGGACCTCTCTTCATGTAGTTTGCCAATGGAGCACGGGATAGTAAAATTACATGGGTCCTTCTGCTTTTCTGGCAGCTTGCTTTGCAGAATGGCCGAGCACTCCTCGCTCAGCATCACTGTTGAGAGATCCCCAAGTCGCTCTTTGTTGGCAAGGAGATCCTTCATGAATTTTTTGTACTTGGGCATCTTCGACAGTGCCTCCACGAACGGCAGGCTAATGTTGACCTGCTTCAACATTGCCATGAATTTGGCAAACTCAGTCTCCAGCTTGTCCTTGTGTAGTCGAGTGGGGAAGGGAAGCTGGAGAGCATGCTCCTTAACCACGGGCTGTGGCTTGGGAGTAAGTGCTTCCTTCTCCATCCTCACTTTTGCATCGTCGGTTGGAAGTGCTGAAGCAGGTAGTGGCTCCTCCTGCCTGGCCGGGGCAGGTACAGCCAATGTTGGCTTGCCACTCCTGGTAGTGATGGCATTCAGCTGCTGGTGAGGCTCACGCGGATTGGGGATGGTGGTGTCAGGTAGAGTTCCCGGTGCCCTGGTATTGTTCTGGCGAGCTATTCCTCCAATATGATTTTAGAGGTCCTACAATATGGCACCTTGGTTCCTCTGACCTGCCTCCAGTGAGGCAATGCTCTGGTCCATCCTGGAAAAATTTGCCTGGCTGGTAGTCACGAATGCTGCCAGAATGTTTTTCAGCTCGCTTACCTAATTATCTAGGGTTTGAGCTACTGGTGGCTCGGCATACTGGTGCTGCGGCTGCTGAAAAGGTTGCCCCTGTTTGGGCTAGTAAGGCTGCTGCTGCAGAAATGGATCCTGCCTGACCTAGAAGGGCTGCCTCTACTGAAGACCACCTGCTGGTGCTGGGAAACCAGGTGGTTTAGTGGTGTTGCTATTATTCCAAGAGAAGTTGGGATGCTGGCACCACCCTTCATTATATGTTCCACTGTAAGGATCAAGGGTCCGAACATTGGCGATGAAGTCCAATTGCTCCTGGGGTGTAGAAGACTCCCGCATAGCCTGACAGTCTTTCGCCAGATGGTTCGAACTCTCACACCACTGACATTGTGCAACTGAAGGTCCGGCCAGACCTCTGCCCGAAATAAGACTGTTGGGCTGCTTCAATGTCTGGACCAACTCAGCCACCTCCCGCTCTAACTCGGACCTAGCCTCCATGGCGTGCACACCTCGGTCCCGGGAACTCTTGCTTCTGGTGCTCTGCCCCCAAGAGTGTTCCCTGGCAGCCAGAGTACTAATCATCTGATTCGGCTCGGGTGGAGTCTTGGTGAGAATATCCCCTCCTAGGCATAGAGACTCTATCACCCTCTAGCTTTCTGGGGTCAGAGCTGTGTAGAAATTCCCCACTATGAATGCATCACTGAAGCCTTGATGGGGACACTGCCAGAAGAATCCCGAGTACCGCTCCTAGGCATCACGTAGTGACTCATCTGGCTCCTGCCAGAAATGAGTGATCTCCCGCTGAATCTCCGTGGTCTTCGAGGCCGGATAATACCTGTGCACAAATTTGTCGGCCAAGTCGTCCCACGATGTGATGGATAGTGGGGGTTGGGTCTCTAACCCCCTCTTCGCATGCCCTACTAGAGAATGGGGGAAAAGGTGGAGACGGATTGCATCATCGGGTACACCATTCATCTTGAATCCATTTGTCAGCTGCAGGAACCGGGAAAGGTGCACCCTCGCCTCCTCATCCTTCAAGCCATGGAACTGGATAAAGGATGTAATCAGTTGAATCCAGCATGGCTTGATCTAAAAGTTGTTCGCTGGAATGGGCGGATAGAGGATGACGGGGCGGATGTCGGCGACACGTGGAGTGTAGTAGTACTCCATAGTCGGACCCGGTGACGGTGGTTGATGCTGAACCCCATCTTCCTGGGGGACTAGGTTGTTCCCCCAGGATCTGATTCACTGTGGGAACCTGGAGAGGCATCCCCTAGGGCGGGTTTTGCGCACCGTCCATCTCGTACTCCGCCTCAGAATCATTGCTCAAGTAGCCGTCGATGCGCACTTCCTCCGTAGCCAGTCTCGCTCGCTGTTGTCTCCTTAGTTGGCGACAGGTGCGTTCTAGATCCGGATCTAACAGTAGTAAACCTCCCGACTGGCTATAGGTCATGCACTACTAGAAAGTGGCCAAGTGTAACCACCTACTAATGCATAGTATAGCGGGTTCAATTCTAATTGTCAACCCGGGTCCTAGGTGTGATGACTACTCCATGAAAGTCTTGTTATCTAGCGATTCAAGTGTAGTGAAGGTTTAGTTAAATTAGCAAGCAAAACAGTAAAAGTTGTGTTCAAGTTGAGAGAGGTCACCCAGATATGGTTCCCCCTAGACTGCAGTTAAGCCAAGTTGTAATTCACCAAGTTCAAGTTCAATGATAGTTATACTGCGGGAGGTTCTTAAACAGTCTGCAGTCTCAACTAAAGGTCTCCAGACCCTCTCAATCTGTGTCCCCAGCGGGTGACTAACCTCCACCGGAGTAAATAGATTGAGGCCCTAACAAACCAAACCTCCTCTGCCGAAGTAAATCCGATACAAAATAGTGAATTAACTCCTCGACTGAAGTCATCAATTCACTACCTTCAATCAAGGGTGCTCTATCAACCTAGGCAGATACTCTCTTTCTAGGTCAAAGCAGAAATAACAGGAATTTGATCAGGATTCATGCCATTCAAGATATCAAACCTCAATTGAATATAATCATATCACTGAATTCGTACTTGGGTTCATACAATCAGACCTAACATACAAATCTAGAGTTCTTCATACCCAGGTGAATGAGAAAGTTGCTCCATAGAGAGAGAAGGGAAATCTAGCTCAGACGCGGAAACCATATTGTGAAGGATGAGATTCTGCTTCTGGCAATCAATCAGCACTTCTCCAAGCTCACCGGGCTCCAATGGTGATGTAGATCGATCTAGGGCACTTGGAGAATGATGTTCGTCACACTCTCTCTAGGTATCAGCTTTGTCTCTCTAAAACTCGGAACCCTTCAAAAGTTGGTCTTCTTTTCCTTAAGAACTAGCAGATCGTGATCCCCGACCATAATACCCGGTCGGGTATTTCCAGTGTCCGGCCGGGGATTTCGAAACGCAGCGCAGCACCAAAGGGGTTAATACCCGATCGTGGTCCAGAATACCCGATCAGGTATTTTTGCTCTCTGGCCAGGACCCCTCCTGCTTCTTGGCGTCCAAAAACAGCTTTCCCCGGCCTCTCTTAGCAATTTACCCGGTCGCGTATTTTTACTCCTGCCGGGTATTTTCCTCTTCCAGCACCCTTCACTCCAATGTCCTCCTTTTTGCCCCGAAACTCATTTCCTCGCCTTTACATCAATGCCAAGTCCTGAAATATGACATAAACACACAACCTAGCATGAAATCGGCTTAAAACACGAGAATCTCTTCTCTAACGACTCAAGAATAGAGGTATAAACATGGTAATTATTGGTCTATCAGTAGACTGAGTTGGGTTTACGTGATGGAGTTCGGGATGGAGGGATGTCCACCGACCGGATGGAGGAGTTGGCTAACATGTTGGCACTAGGGGTTACGGCTTTAGGTTTAAGTGAGCGCCGGCATCCCGATCCTACAGAACCTATACAACGGTATCATGTTGATGAGTACAGCCTAGACATATGGCTAGAGAGTAGGGTTCTGCCATCGGCTTGGGGGTTGCCACTGCCACAGTTCACGCAGGAGCCGTAGACAGCGACGTGAGCAGCGTGATGTACCTCATCCAGTAAGGATTTCAGATCGTCATCGAGTGCAACCAGTTAGACCTACTTCGACCTTCCAGTTCCACCCGCCTTCTCAGCAGAAGTTTCAGTCGGGCGCTTATGCGAGATTTCAGGTAGGAACCAGTCCGGGGCACAGTTTCAGCCACAGGAAGATAGCTTTCATACAAAGCAACATGCTACGATGGGAGGCAGATACATGGAATCAGGTAGTGATACTATACCATACATGGACTCAGACGAGTGGGAACGTATAGATGGTGATTGGACTTTTCGGGCATCGATGTGGTCTTATGAGCAGCAGCTTCGAGCGAGAGCATTTAGTGGCGGTGACCAGAGGAGTAGATTCAGTCTCAGGTGGATGAGATGTTCGGTACACAGGATCAGGATGATATAGTGGAGGGAGATCAGCCCCAGCACGATGATGGTAGGCCTCCATGGGTACCGAGGTGTGGTACTGGCGACCATCTAGTGGATCAACATGGTGTTTCGTCGCGGTGGTCTTTAGTGAGACTATTATTGTTATGTACTTCTATGAGATATTTATGTGGACTATTTTTAATTTCATGTGCACTATGTCATGTTAGTGCTATTGTATAAATGAAAACTTTAAATATAAAACCAACAAACAACAACAACTAGTTCATATCATAAAAGTCCCAATAACAACTTCAAACAACAACAACTCCTGCAAGGCAAATCGAAAGAAAAACAACAACTACTACATTAGATAAAAGTTCAACCAAACTACATACCACGCCTATTGCCATTGCTTCCTCTCCTACCACCTCTCACACTTCATTGGTCACCACTCCCTCTTCGCTGGCTCTCACTCCCACTTGCTTGGCTAACACAGGTTGATGCATTATGTCCCACTTGGTTACAGTTGCTACACACTTGTTGTGATACACCCTCTCTTGGCCAATCCATCTCGTTGTGGATTTTTGTTGATCTTGGCCTCCCCGACTTCCTAATCATGTGCACATTAGGATGGAGAGTAGGGTCATTATGCTTCTTCCAACCCTTAGGTTCACCAAGAGGTGTGAAACTTGTCCCATAACAAGCCAACACTGTTTCAAGCGCCATCGAATTTGATGTTAGTCCACCCAGTTATCACAAGAAATGTTCCTATCAGCGGCCACCTTCTTAAATTGCTCAACTTGACGATCGAACTTCTCCAAGCATTTTTTCTCCGGCTAACAAAATAAATAACCACACGAGTTAGATAAATTCATGACAAAATTAAATGAAAATAAATAATACATTATAATAAATAACAAAATTAAATGAAGAAGGCTTACCGACTCAAAATAGTTGCTTATACATAATCCTGCTTTTAGTCTTCCTTTGCGAATTGCTTGCATAGTGTCACATGCACCACCACCTCCACTCTTAACCTCTTCCGATGTTACTCATGGCTTCATAGAGTCCCGCATGTCTATCAAAGCTGATGCATACATCATCTCGATCGGTCAAACCTTGAACGTGACTTATGAACCATGTCCAACTATCAGTATTCTCGCTCTCCACTATGACAAATGCAATTGGAAATATCTTCTTCCGGCTATCAAATGAGCTCGCCATGAGTAGCACTCCTTTATACTTTCCAGTAAGAAATTTTCCATCAACAACCATGAATCCTGGAAAATTCTTGAATCCATCTATACAAGGTCCATAAGCCTAGAATACTGGCTGAAAGATCAAATGACCTGGTTGCGATGAAGGAACTCTTACCCAATCAATCACTGATGTTGGCATTTTTCTCTTTACCACCCGCAAGAGTTTTCAAATAATCGTAGGATTCTTTCCAATTTCCATGCAACTTCTCCAATGCTCTTTGTTTCTCGTACGAAGTCTTTTTGTAAGTAACTTGCATATTATACTTATCTGTCTACTCGGCCTGCACAGTTAGAACACTCAGTTTTGGTTGGGTACGTACCAAATGTTTCACGGACTCAGATATAACGTCGACATCAAGATGGCGATGATCCATCGGTTGAGTCGTACTGCTGCAAGAATGCACCAACTCGGCCTTTCTCACAGTCCATTCGCTTCCCACATCTCGACATCCAAACCGCACCATCCAAGGATAATTTTCATACTTGTGCCTCAAACATCTGATCTTCCAGATTGAAGGTGACGACTCCACCACATTATACTGAAAGTTGCATTGTAGTGCGTAGTGTTTAATCGCCACATATGCAGCTTGTTTAGAGTGAAATGTCTGCCCCTTGTAGAATTCTCCATCAAAACTAGTAACAATAGGCATTGGAATTACGCCATATGAATCAACATAGGATAATCCGCCGTTCTCTTCATTACCCTACAAGTAAAAATATGCAGGATAATTAGGTTGCTCTCCTTCCCCTTCCCCCTCCTCGTCCTCATCTTCCTCCTCTTCGTCATCACCATCATCATAGTTATGATCGGATGGCACGCTCCATGTCTCATCTTCTTCATCTCCACCCCGATCCTCACTGGGCTCAGCATGTATCTCAACATCCAAACAATAAGGGTTTTGTGCCATAAAATTCCAAAGCACGTTCAAGCTATCATCATCCACAATAGGCATCGCATAATGAAATAAAACATCATTCTGCCATTCTGGAAGACAATAAGTGAAACCTGTGATCACATCACTATCTTGTACTACTTCGTCTTTACGTCGTATTCTCTGAATTAGATTATCACAAAGTTTCTAATATGTCACCCTGGATGGAACAATCAACTGGAAACTTCTACCACCAACAAAATGGACGCCCAAATTATCCTCTACTTTCTTTGATTTCCACCGAACGTCTAGTTCAAATCTTCTAAATTCACTACATAAAAAAACAAACTCACTAATTACTAACTAAACAAAATCATTATAGCATTTGAAGAATATAATTAAAAAAAATAAATATGTCTCTTACTTGTTATTAGCTATCTTCCCAGAAACTAAACAGCAACCAGAGCTTCTCTCGTCTAACTTCGTCGATTTTTTTGGTGGTGAAGAATAGAAGGAAAAGAGAGTTGTATGTATGGTACTGGATGGGATGAGGGAGGCACCGAACCCGCCTCAGTCTCGGGCGCCACCGTTGAGGGGTTATGATAGGCGCCAATGCCCCAGTCTCGGGCGCCGCCACTTAAATTGATTGAAAATTGTTCAACTAGCGGCCGTGCCTCAGTCTCTGGCGGGCTCGCTATTACCCTACAAAAAAAACACAATATACATGTCAAAAGTTTTTAAACCGCCATATTGGTGGTAAATTTATTTGTGGAATTTATCCGAGTCTAGTCCGGATCAAATTATACCGATCCGATATTTGCACTGAATTTAACCATTTAAATATATTTTGATTTTAAAGTTATTTAAGTATGAAAGAAAAGTGGATAGATATTCAATTTAGACTGGAACGAGTCAGACTAAATAAGTCAATCATACTTTTGGTCCTATTTTTATCTTCAATTTCACTTTAATTTTGGCCCGGTATTATCTCGATTCGTGTGGCTCTAGACCCCACCCTTAGCTTAAAGGTAAACAAAAGCGGGTACATGGTTTGTGATTAACTAAGGGCAATAGCCAATAGGGCTAATAGTTCATAATATATACTAGGATTCAGCCCGCGCTCCGCCGCGGGATACTAATTCTGTTATAATTTCAATGTGATTTAATATAATCTATAACCATAATCGTTTATGTCCTAAATATAGACATAAATGTTGTCATAAACATAAAATACTGGGGTTTCAAAATAAACATTATGCAAAAGATTGACTGGGTTTGCAGAATAAACATATATGTAGTCAGGAGTGTGTCCAAGTTTTCCACGATATATCTACTAAATTAATAAAAGTTCCATGACGGAGACTGAAGATTTCAAGCTTGGCAGGACAAAATGTTTTCAGAAGTTTCGTGCCTTTGTGGTTTGCACGATATCAAAATGGCATGCTTCGAAGGACATCATTATTTCTCGAATGCTGATCGGTCCCACAGGGTGAGCACTGTTGCTTTTGGTTGTATGTCTGAATCACTGTCTCCCACTTTTCTCCATGCGACATTCAATTCCGCCGCAAATTTTTTGCCACAGTTCTTTGCGATCAATTCTATGATTTGGTCCTTCTTTAGAAACAGATAATCTGACGGTGACTTACGAATAAGTGACAGAGCTGCTTCATGCTCAAACACCACATCTATTTCAGATCCTTCTTGGCGACATCTCCCTTCCAGTTTGTATGTCAGTCTTGCAATAAAGATCTTTTTGTTAGGTTTATATAAAAAGTATTATTATCGCATGTGTAAACATGGGAGGATGGTCAAAAGCTTACCCTGTGTTCTCTTCACGAATTTTGCAGATGCTTTTTCTGTATATAAACCTTGGAATGTCAATCAATGTCATGTAAGTGATCTGTTGCATAAAATGTCGGATGTATTATACAGGTAAACAGATGAAAATATACAGCTGATGTCAATGCTGGTGTTTGTTCATATACCTCTGTGAAATCTGACAGGTCCTCCATCCTTTCTTTTATCTCTCTCAGCGATTTCTTTGGCAGTTGATTGCTCAGCAGGTGGCCAGTTTTTTTGCAAGTAGCATCATCGAAGAAGTAAACTGGTTTGCGACATGCAAGAAAGCTACATGTTGAAAAGCAATGTGTAAGTATCACTAACTCGATAGTGGTTGAACCAATCAGTTATCTTGGGCAAACCCATATACAGCAACTCACATGTTCATGATATCCTTGCAGTTGTCTGTATAAGAATGAATGATAAGCTTACTCGCATTTGTGGATCGAAATTCGTGCTGATATTTACTGCCATGTCTAGGAGTTACTCTACTAACTGATTTGATTGTCACAATCAATGGTAACTTTGACTCCATTGCTGGAGCATGCATTTGGAAATCATCAATGTCATGACCATTGTATTCAACATAAGCCTTTGCCCCACTGATTGCAAAGCAATGCGTTAACTATACATTCTTACAAAGCAAAAAAAAGTGTACAGTCTTAAGAGCATACTAGACATCTTGTATGACCAGGTCGAATTTCTGAATCATTCCTTTAATTGTTTCTGGATGAGTTAGTCTTCTAACACATCCTGTAACATCTGCAGATTTAATGTTTGTTATGCTTTGTTTAATGGTGTTCTTAATCATGGATAGAGAGACATATATTTACCTGAATGGCAGACAAAGTCTTCTAATGTTTGAGGCACAATGGAAAAATCGGCTGCTGTGTATGATCCTACTGGAAACTGCTGGGGTCCATGTCCTTCTTCAATGTGCCTTCTAATTTGATATGAAGTGAGGAGCAGGCGGAACTCTCGATGGACAATGCGTTGCACTGACCTTGCTGGACCTGCTACAATATCTTGTAGTTCATGCAGGCAGCCAACCTTGATTTTCTTAAAAACCTCAGCTGCCTCTTCTTCTTCAACCTGAGTTTCGATCAACTTGTTTTGTAAAGTCAATGGTAGATAGATATGTTGTCAAGAGTTTTTGATCTTTTAGTATTCGCCAGTAGGTTAATTGATGTTTAGGGTTTGTATATTGGTAATTTCTTTTGTCTTAACACTTAATCAAATGCTCTGACGAATATTTATGAATATAGTTGGGGTATCTGGATCCAAACCTTTTTGTCAAGCCAGAGCATGTGATGTGTCCTTTTCTTCCATGTGGATAAAGGCACTTCTCGGAACTCAGACCATGTAACGACATGTCTAGCTATAACGGTTCGATTGTTTGTTCCCAAACGCAGTCCCCGAAAGCACATGCTTGCATCAATGGAATCTGCAACGCGAATAAAGACGAATAGATAAATAATAAATGGAAAAAATCGCATAGGAATCGAGATGCGTTTTTAGGATTTCTTTCCAGATTCAATGTATTTACCTTTCAGTTCGTTGGAGACCACACAATCGCGATCTGTAGTTTGATGCTTATTCCTCAAAGATTCCATTTTGTGTGGGTCCATGGAAGCTCACGTATCAGTTGTACTATACAACTGTAAATCTGTTGGGTAGAAGAAAGCTTCCAGTTCTTCGAGACCCTGGTTTCCCGTGTTTCTTGTATCTTGACTGCGCGGCCGATTCTAGAAGGCATAAAAAAACATATCGGTAGTTTATGTAAGCTAGGGTTAACTTAGGGTAAGTCCTTTTTGGATCTATTGTTTGGGCCTTGACATCGTGTTTGGGCTCTCTTTGATATGCAATGGGGTCTAACTGTTGAATCAGGCCTTTTTACAAAAAAGCCTACAATACGCTCCTGCGCTGATTGTTCTGTCAAGTTGTATCAGTTGGGCTCATCGAATTTTCTTTCTAACTTCTCTCTGGAAAGTCCGAACCGATATTAACTGACAAAAACTCATGACTGCTTTCTAGCTTTGAGTTTCGAAATAAAAAACACAAAATGTGTCTCTTGTTAAGAACAACGCAAGAACTGGAAGAACAATTTTTTCCAGGCGTAAAATTCAAAAAGTTGGGAGAGTTCATAATAACCACTTCGAGCTTCTTCGATGCTTGCAGAATTAAGCAGGTGCAATATCTGTGAAGGCCTCTGAATATACAATGTTTCTTGTGTAATTGGCTGGAATGTCCTCTTCATTTTCAATCAAGAATCTCAAACCACCTGCAGATCTTACTCTTGATGCTGCCACATAAAGCTGTCCATGACTGAATACTGGTTTAGGCAAATAGACTCCAACCTTGTCCAGCGTTTGGCCTTGGCTCTTATTTATTGTCATCCCATAACATAAACGTACTGGGAATTGCCTCCTCTTCAGTATAAAGGGCCAGCGTTTGTCTTCTACGTTGAGTACTATTCGTGGTATAACAACCTCTTTTGTGTCAAAAGATCCTCCCATGATGTTTCCTACAATGATATTTTCCCCCAATTTCGTAATCAATATCCTCGTACCGTTGCATAGGCCGTTTGGTGGGCTCAAATTTCTCAGCAACATGATTGGAGTGTGAACCTTAAGTCTTATTTCATGATCTGGAACACCATTGAACTGAAGAGAATTCAAAAATTCTGTTGGGTAAGTTTCAGCGAATAGCTGAGGTGCCTCTGTATCAAGTTGAATAGAGTCTGAACTGTAGTAGCAACGGCAATGTCCAGGAATTTTTTGCAACATGAAGTCATTCACTTCAGTCACAACTGCATTAGTAGGAGTAACGATCGCCCTTCCACTTAGGTAATCTGTGCTCATGTGTTGTTCCTCAAATGCGTCATATATGTCATTTGTGATTGACTCGATTGGATTTTTTCCAGCATATATCAAAAGTATTTGTGGTATCTCAATCCAATCTGAAGGTGTGTTTGGCATAAAAGATTTTGTTGGCAGCCTTCCATCTCCTAGCGCCAGAATCCACTCACCAAAGTTCATTCCACAGCCGACCAGGTTTCTATTATCTTGTGAATCATTAAGCCTCATGTTCCTTGACAGTTTGAGCACCTGAAAAAAGGGCCACAACGATGACCTCGTGATGGATCCATCAACTGTTTGTTTCCTTCCTGAATCTGAAATTACTGGCAGAGTCTGTCTAAAATCACCACCAAAGATTACTGTTTTTCCTCCAAACAACTTGTGTTTTGGACCTGATAGTGGTATGTCCATCAAATCACAAAACGTTCTGCTTATAGCCTCAAATGCATTTCGATGTGTCATCGGTGCTTCGTCCCAAATAATCAATGAAGCTGCACGTATTAGCTCAGCTAAATGAGTACCTTTCTTTATGGAACATGTAGATGTACGGTCTATATGAAGGGGAATCTTGAACCTTGAATGAGCAGTTGTGCCGTTTGGTAGTAGTGTGGCTGCTATTCCAGATGAGGCAACAACTATAGCAATTTTGGAGAAACTTTTTAATTTTGCAATGATTGCATTGTAGAGAAAAGTCTTGCCTGTTCCTCCATAGCCATATAGGAAAAATGAACTGCCAAGGTTGTTGTTGATAGAGAGAATAATGAGTGTGAAAACCTCTAGCTGTTTTGTGTTCAGTTTGCTAACCATAGTATTTGCCAGTAACCTTTGTTGATCATCATCAAAGTTAAGATGCTCATTAATCAGGGGATTTGATCCATCGTCAGGTTCTGAATCTGTCGGTCTTGGGAGATGTAATTGCTGAAGTGAAGAACCATAAGTTCTCAGTAAAGTTTCCAGTTGATGTAACACCCAATTCTTAAGTCTCTCATCTGAAGGCTGGAAAGTTTTTGAGTGTAGCTGTTTACGAAGAGAATAAACATGATCTTCACTCATTAACCTCCATGAAGATTCAAATAGAGCATTAGGATAAGGTATTTCGCAGAACATCAGCATTGAAACAAATGTAGTCCGTATTATGTGTGGCATACTTGATACTGCAATTTCTTGTAATACCTGAATCCATTCTGAAGAGTCCGATAGAAGCCCCAACTTTTGGCATGCTCTTTCCTAAGTACTACAAACCTCCCCTTGTATTGTTCTTAAATTGAGGAAGCTTGTTGCTCCTCTTACTTTGGTCAATAGCAGCCTAAGAAAGAATATATCATCACTTCCTGGAGGAACATATGCTATCCTTCCTATTGCGAAACCCCTTTTCCTTGGAGTCCATTCACTGTATTCTTCATTCCATGTAAAGGAATTTGGTATTTGAGCATATGTAAGCTTTCTTGCATTGCAATAATGTCTGTTAAGTTCAAACCATGAAGTAAGATGAGTTTTCCCTGCCCTTGGATTTTGCAAAACATTTTGGATATTTGACCTTCTCTTGTATGAAACATTCTGTTGTCCATCCAGGTGTACACCAAGTCGAACCACATTAGGCTCTCTGTGGTGTATAGAATACTTGTTGATTCTCCATATAGCTTTGTAGGAGGACAGCGACCTGCAATCAATGAATTCTTGTATCTCGTCTTTTGTTTTTTTCGTTATATTTGATGGTACCTGAACTGAGCTTGTCGAGTCTTCTGCAACAATAAGAGATCTATATGGTCCTTTAGTAATGTACTTAAATAAGTACTTCACTAATCCTCCCTTGTGACATATTTCCACATTAATATGGGCTTGAGCTCTAACCAATAAGTTTCGATTGTATGGAACGACATATCTATTATCCAGCATTGCCTTTCCTTTTTGAACTTGAATGCCTGAATTTCTTCTTCTGTACACGACATTGCCAAACTTGTCGAACGAAGTTTCTGAACAGAATTCTTTCGAAAAATACTTCGAACATTTACCATCTTTCATACATGGTGCAGTGGGGTTGTTAACTCCACAAGATCCATGAATCATGAACTTAACCACTGCAGCATACCCTTCTGGATCTAGATTGGGGTCTGGTATTTCTGCAGAAATCATCTCATCAATGTCAGATGTTGACTTTAGTTTATCCTCTTTGGCCAACCATATAAGCATATGGACATGTGGGAGGCCCCTCTTTTGAAACTCAACTGTGTAGATTACTGCGAAAAAATAGTCCATCATTTGAACTTGATAGCTCAGTCAAATAATCAAAGAAATTTTATACAATGAAAGGTTATCTACAGCCAACTCACTGCTATCGTTTTTCCGAAATATGATTCTCATTTGAACTGGTCAATTAATATGGCAAGCTTCATGTGAAACACACGGCAGACCACCATAGGCTTCAACTCGCTGTTTGGTCCAACCATATCTGCAAAAGCGTCAACAATTTCTTCCCAAAGAGCATTGCAGGTAAATGTAACAAATAAATCTGGGTTACCATAATGTTGACAGGTTGCCATAGCATCATGATAAAGTTGCTGCATATATCTTGGTCCTCCTGTATAAGATGATGGCATTATAATTCTTCCAAGCTTTTCTTCATCCATGTCTCCCTTTGCAAATGCATCCTGTAATCCCTGATAAACTTCTGCTCTTAAATCTTTTTGATGAGTTCTAAGAAATGCTAGTCGATTGAGTTCAATTGTTGAAAATGCATCAACACAGTAATGTTGCAATGCCTTGCCACTTTGAACCAGTGTATGCCCCTCATTCAATCGATACTGAAGTCTAAAAGCATAATACTCTCTTTGAGTAACAAATTTTCTTCGCATTGATGCTGGACAAAAGGAGGCATTATAAGATATTTGAGGATGAAACCCATCTTCTCCGTACGGGAATAGCAATGGGAAGTAAAGAGCCTCAAATTTTGGGTTGAGGCTTGTTATACGTTTCAGCCCTTCTCCTCGATGGTCAAATGATATCTCTATCCTCCCTATCTGCAGCAAAATCACCAGGTATTAAGGCTGCAATATCAGAGCTAGTTGGCAAGTCATATTGTCGATCCTACTTTTGATCCCAAAGATTCTGAGTCGGAGATTTGGTGTGGAAGAAAGCTGGAGATCTTGTCGAATGCGCCTAAATGTTCTGACCAACTCGTTGTTTTCATCAAGCATTCGAAGCAAACTTGCAAGTAACTCAGGCAGCAAGACTTCCTCTCGAGATGCGAAGTTTGCAAGTCTATTGTTAACCTCATTTTCAGGTTCAAATATATATAGCTGAGCAAACTTTGGCCTATTTCCATCAACTGGAAGTAAGGATCCAATTCTATGGTAATTCTCACCACAAATAACCATCGAATATGGTCCTCTTGTTGTCAAAGAGCGTGGATCCAGTTTGGCTCCAAAATATGTGAAACACAAAGAACCATTGTAGGGTCTGATGTTGTCTCTAAAATGTTTTGACATTGCACCTCCATTAAGATCCAACAGCTGAGCAAGCAATGGAGGTGGTGGCTTTAATAGGGGAATGCAAACTCTTCCTTTCTGACAACAAAGACTATACACAGGATTTAAGGATTTCCTGTGTCGATCCAATCGCTCAGCATACCAAAAAAAAGCACCACAGAACTGACAGACACAGTCAGGTTTTCCAACGTTCAGCCTATCATTGTGCAATGGCTTCCTTGCAGTTGGGACATCAACTGATGCTTTCTTTGCTTTTTGACATTGACGATCATTTGTAGCTGAACTGCAAGATGCCTCATTATCACCCATTTCTGTATAAGGATCTGGAGGAACGAACTCACTGTTGTGAGCCTTTGTCGACTTTGAAATTTCCCCTGAGAGAATGAATGGCAGGCTTCTCAATCTTTTGTTGACTCTGGTGTTATCCACGTTCATATCTGTAAAGCTGTTAGTTGGATTCCTGGAGGATTCGATTGTGAAAGAAGTGTCACCTCTCTTTCGCCTCAGCAGGTTGGAAGGCGCTTTCTTCTTTCTAGGTGTCATTCTGATTACATGAAGTAAATGTTTGATATCCAGTCAGACTTAAATGAGCAAAAAACAAAAGTTCAATAACTGCAAACTTCAGTGTTCTGTCTTGGTCAGATAGACAAAGAAGAGGATCCAAATCATTTAATGAGGTTCCATTAATGTGTAACTGAGGAATAACGAATACAAACATGCTTAACTGTATCTGATGAGGGGGTCTATATCACCAATGATGTGTGTCTCTGGCGTGTAGCTCCAAACAGCTGATCAGCAGGTCTTACCTTGCTGTATACTCTAGCTTGCTGACACTCTACTGAAGGGAAAAAGTCGACACAAACAGAACTACTTGCTGAACACAGGAGCAAAAACCAGAGGGCAAAGAGAAAGTTGAAGGTCCATTGATGAAATCTCTTTGATTTCTGATGTGTTCCTTAATAAGATATTATAAAATTAATATATAATTTTATATTAGGTGTCTAATCTCTATCCAAGTAGTCATTGTGACTGCTGGTTCTGTAACCAAGGGTAAACAATGATGGCTTTTGCATTTAATGCTTTAGATTTTGGGCACATGATTAACCTAAATTATTTTAATCTTGCAACCCAAAAGATTCCTTTTAATATTAGCATGTCTGCTATCCATTACTAATTTCACCTGTTCTTATCTATATTTTTCTTGTGGACAATGCTTACTCTTTCCCACCACATGATGTAAAGAACATTTTTGTTATATTTGCATATACATACAGTTAAGACATAAATGTAAAACACAGGCATCTTAGATAAAAACTATATTCTTTGATAATGCATAAAAACTGCTGAGCATCCACATTCCACAAAAGAGGGACCAAAAGGTCAGAGTTTTGCCCACACTGGGGTCACAACATTTCAGGTGTCCAAACTGACCACCCTGATCTTGCACACAGAATTACATGCACTTAAAATTTACACCACATAAACAGATACCCGAAGCAACATTAGTTTTGTTTAGTAACCAACAACATAATTTCCACAAAGTTTCCAGAAACGGCCAGGCAAGGCAAGAACAAAGTCTACCAACAGGTTCCTAAGAAGTTGACAAAAGAGCTGCAAACCCTCCAACTAGCACAACTTCAAACGATCGACAACATAATCATCCTGCCCACCATCAAAAGGACTGTTTCCTAGCAGCAAATCCAGCATCCACAAAAGGCAACCACCTTTCTTGCACCTAGTATAACTTAGATCCAGTACAAAAACATAACTCATCAGCATTCAAAACTAATAAATAACATACGAAGGGATCAAATTCGAATTTATACCCTAAGATTCATACAGGCGACGCTTAGCAGCAGAAGGCTTCCCAGGTGCCTGGTGTGAAGCTTGGTCAGCAAGCGAAAAAGGGGACGAACTCTCTGTTTGCTCATCATCCTGCCTCACATTAGGAGATCCAGTTTCAGAAGATTCCAGCTTCTCAATCTTCACCTTAGCTAGAGGTGATATCAAGCTGCATTGTCAAAGACCAAATCAATAAATTCCGACTGCATACTAACCATGACACGATAAGTTTAAAAGTAAAAAACTCACAGACTCCTTGAAGACAAAGGCGAAACCGTCGAAGATGACTTGCTGATTTTACTCTGAGGAGTATCAGAACTCAGCCCAGCAATGGATGACAATCCATGCACTCCCTGGCTAGTAGAACTCATCACATCCATACCATCACTCCGAGTTCCAGGAGTCCCCACTGCACCTTTCACAGCACCAACTGATTGGATATCAGAGACCTTCAAAGGATCTGCAATGGTAAAAGGAGCTGCCACAACAGTTGCCCCTGGACCTGCTGCTTTTCCTTTCACATCAGCAACAGAAAGCAAAGGTGCAATAGATGAAACAGGAGGCAGTAAATTTGGCGAAATCACATCGGACACAACAATATTCTCCTTGATGACCAAAGGAACTTGAGATGAACTGTAAGAGCCAAATGAGCACATAAGTATTTACCATGCCACAACAGCAACTAAGCATAGGTTAATGCATCAATACCAAATCAAGTAAAACAGTCCAAATGTTACCTAAGAGGCAACCCTGCAACCTGGCCAACCTGGAATGTTGGATTCGTGCCTCCAGCCGACACAGAGTCAACAACCTTTTCCTTTCCTTTGGATGAGCTAGATTTGTAACAGCAAAGATCAATAATTAGACTAACCAAAGAAAAACCCATACCCAAACCCCCGTAATTAACCAACACAAACATAACAATAGAGCAAACAACCCTCACCTAGATGGTATGACAGCAGAAGCTGAAGCTGCGAAAGGTACACCTAGAGCAGGCAGCAGCAACATTCCTTCCTGACCAGAATAGGATTGACTTAGGGTTTGGGACGAAGAAACACTGCCCGTGACATCTGGAACTCCTGTAAGACCAAGCACTGGGCCCTGAACATCACGGGGCATAACTCGGAAAACCCGGAATTCACCCGTAGATACTCCACTTGACCCAACCATCGGAAGCTTGACCTCAAACCTGACAAACTGGCCGAGCAAAGCCTCAAGTTCAGGCGGCAGCTGGCCAGACCTGTGAGGATATCTCTGGGCAAGCAGTTGGGCAGATGTGAGCACCAAATTGTTCCCACACGGGCCGAAAATAATGAAAGGGGCCTCGTCAGTGGCATCACGTAGGGTCAGTTGGATCTTGTAGCTAGAGACGACACAGTAAAAAGCAGAGACAATTCCATCAGGACAGGCATAGGAGTGCAAACTCAAAAAATTTGGCAAATTCTCTAGGACCTGACAGGCACACAGTGAAATAAACAAAAACAAAAACTAATGATCAGACAAAACACACACCCAATTGTCACTTGCTGCTCAGTGATCTGCCAATGGTCAGGACACCAGTAGTTACCATTTCGCCACGTAGAACACTTCTTTCTGCACATGCTGCATGACATGTAATACCACGGGCTCCGGGACTCAACCGATCGGATTATACCACCGCAACGATGCTTTTCATCCTGAATATAAACATTGATAATCCCAAAAAGCAAAAAAAACATAAATAAATGGACAACCCCAGGACCAGTCTAAAATCAAGAACTACATCGGAATGCAACTCACTACAGAAGCACCGCTATGGTGCAAATCAAGAAGCTCAGCTATGGTCCTGGTTCTCCGTTCAGCATCAGCAACAGCGTCCCCCGGGGTTGCAAACTTGACCGGTAAATCAGCCACATGAACTCTGGATCCACCAAAACTGCATAGATGGACACAAAAAAGTCAAGCAAACCAAACACCACAAAGCAAATCCAGAACAACAAAAACACAGTTTAACAATAAAGAACCCACAAAGCAGCGAGGCTGTAAGCTTCTGGTATCCTCGGGCTAACAACTATACGGGTTCCAGAGGAGCTCGAACAGGAATATTCACCGGCTGTACAACAAAAACAAAATCAATTCACAATTTATGATCAAGCAGAATGGAAAAGAGGTAAAATACACACCTATCAAACGACCAACCATGAGCCCCCCAACTCCAATGATCACTGGCTCAATGGAGTCCGCCTGAATCAAAGCAGGTCGATCAAGGACTGCAGTCAGTTCATTCCAAAGAGTGATTGACACCCTCTGGCCCCTGACAGTGAAACAAACGATCAGATCTTACGTGAAGGTGATGAAACAGTATTCCCCAATGCAAAAATAAAAACACAGAAAGACCTACTGTGCATTCTCAAGGACCAGAACTTGTTTTGGAGTCGAGCCGTGATTAGTAACCTGATGATCAATCCCGCTAATAGAATGAAGACGGCCGACAACATCTGACCGAAAAAAGAGAGCAGTAAGAAGACATAAAAACCCAATCCAATTCAGTCAAGAAAATGCAATAATCACTTGCAAGGATACGATTGTCCCCTGAACGCTTAGACAGCTCACTATAAGGAACAACCTCAAAGGAATCAGTTGGAAATTCAGCTGCCTGCAGAGAACAGGCCTGGAAAATAGTTGTTGCTGACAACTCTATTATCAGATCAAATGAGCAAGCACGATAGAGATTCCTTGCGGCACTGAGATCGAAAGACCTAAGAACGTAGATGATTCCCACGCGCAGCCACGCTCAAATTAAGACCCAATAGAGACATCAGCCAGGCTCTGAATGAGCATACCCTAAATAAAAACAAAGAAAGGCAGTCAAGAAAGAGCAAAGAAGGAAAAAAAAAAGAGTTAAAAAACAGAAGCACTGTAATCACAAAGAATTAGCGTAAGAGAATCACCGTCTGATCCACCCAAAGGCAACAGTGATTAATCACCCTTGTCCCATTAGGATTCTTGGCAAACCACATATGGAGCAGACGAAGCCTCAGAGTCACCTCTCTGGTACCTCCTTTGAGATTGCAGGGCAGAGTAGCATCCATGGTGAGGAAAAAGGAGAGAAAACAACGACTGAACCACAGAGAACAAAGAGGGGAGAAGAAAAAGAGGGAAATGCGTTCCGAGAATGAGTCCTCTTGTGCAAAAAGAATGAGAAATACCCTTCTCCACCTGAGCGCACGCATCGAGGCACTGAATGACATGTACAGAGCTGCAAGCAGTAAACTGTTTGACACCCCCCCCCCCGCCCTCAGGTAAATAACCGGTATCAATCAGTTGTCAACCATCCCCAAAGCACCTCCAACCCCAGCCAATCAGCCGCCAAGTTTCCCCAACACAGTCCTGCGAACAACAGCCCAACACGACCCTCTAGGAATCCCTAACAGACACAATCATATCACGCAAGACTTACTGAGCATATCTGAAGGCCCCGTCCCACGTGCCCAGGCAGGGGCAAAGTCACATACCGATCTCTGATGACCAACGCGCGTCCGGGCCACCAAACGACCGCAACTAAGGCCAACCAGAAGCCAACGACCAGTCCCACACCGATCGAGACCCCAGAGTCCGCCAAATCCCACGCCAGATCCCAATGAGGCCTCACCCAACTCCAGCCCACGCCAGGTTGAAACAGTAATTCTCAGTCACGTTGGACAGTAAAAGGTGTCTGCGTGTACAGTACCAGGGGCTGCGGTGGGTTTCTTTCTTTCAATGAAATTTATCATTTTAAAACATACATATATTTATGAGCTAATTCCACTAGTAAGCTCAAACTATACTAAAAGTGTTATTTGTGTACTAAACTATTTAATAAGACAAATCTGGCACGAACTATTTTTCTGTTAATGTTGACTAGCGTTGCCCGTAGCATTAACGTGGCATATGACATGGAATTTTATATCCAGTTTTAATTTATTTTTCCATGTTACTTAACAAAATAAAATAATAAAAACAAAAAATCTATAATTCCTCAACGAACTGAGACCCCATCGCCACATCCACCGGCGACTAATTCTAGAGAAGCTTCACCCCCCTCTACGATGTCCTCTTCTCGGTGACGGGAAACCCTTCCTCGATCCCTTTCGGAGACGGATGTTGCGCTGGTGGTGGTCTGGAAACGAGGAGTCAGTTTGAGATCCACTGTCGACGTCGGTTGAATTTGGATGGTAGACTAGTATAGTGGCGACTCTAGATACCACATTTTGTCCGACTAATTTATTAATTGTAACTATCGATTAAGAGAAGTTGAGGACTCACACTTTGTTTTAAATTAGCAGTAGCCAATTTTAAACATCTCTTTCTTAGATTATTGTTTAGGGTGAGTGTGTTTGGCTTGACTTGATTGAGATGAGCAATAACAAATCTCGCTTGCTACAACTTGATACTAACAAGTAGGCTGTTTGTTTTGAGTAATTGAAGTTGTGTGGATGGTTCATTGAGTTGAGTTTTAATACTTGGTTCTTTTAAGGATTGGCCCTCGATTTCGAACAATAAATGGAAAGACAGTTAAGAATAAAAATAACAATCATATGAGAACAACTTACAATTACAAATAATCATTACAATAAATTACAGAAGTTATTACGATTGTAAAAAAATTAAAAAAGGGTATCCAAGCTTGCCCATGTCATGTCAACCCCATCCATGCCAACTTGGGGTCAAAGCCCAGTTTGGTTCGGCCCAAATCCAAGGCTCAAGTCAAAGTCAAAGCCAGTCAATAGACAGGTTTGACTTGTTGACCAACCCTGATCTGACCTTAAACCAGACTGGGCCGACCAAGAACCAACCTTGCACTGTACACTACAGTAAGCCTATCTATGAGCCTACTAACCTAGCAACCAATCACAACCCAACACCCCAATCCCAATAGTGTTTTCACTGTAGTTTTTTTTCCAAAAAAAGAGGTGCTTGGGCTGCTTGATGAAGAAAAAAGAGGGCGGTCGACTTTCTTCATCTTCCTTTTCTTTCTTTTTCTTCTCACCCATACTTCCTCCCTGTTAGAGAGTGGTATAAGATCAGGGCCGTCCCATGATATTTGGAGGCCCTGTTCGACAATTTAAAATGTGGCCCAAAATTTTTTTTTCACAAATTTATTAAAAATAAAAATCATTAAATAATAATAAAAATTACATAACTTCAAAAAATGATTAAAAATTAATAATACTTTCTATTTTTTAAATATTATCTACGCTTAGAACTATCTTTTTAAAAATTTTGGGTTGACATAATTAAAAATTATAATCAAAGATTAATGTTTCCAAATTACCAATCAATATAAGTTCCCTACAAAAGAAAAAGGGTTAGAATTTAAAACAAGTTGATTAGGAGTCTGTACAGTAGGGATGAAGATTGATTAGGAGTTAATTAGAATTGGGTGTGACCAATTCATATTTAGGCGTTGGATGATTTTGGGAAGTTGAGAAATTTTGGGAAAAAAGAAGAATACAGACGTTAGATACATTAACAGTTATTTTAAATTCAGCAAACAAAAGATAGCTCGGTGGTGGAATCTCCTTCTTCTTAATACGTGGTCCATGGTTCGATTCCCCTCATTGTGGATTTTTTGTCTGGGCGTCTGGGCCTTGCCAACGTAAAGGGGCCTCCGAACCTATGGGTTAAGTGGGGCCTTGCAAGTCCAAGTTGGCCAGGATTATGTGGGCCTTGGCAGTCTCAGAGGGACTTCGGACTTATGGATTATGAGGCCCCAAAATATTAAGGCCCTGTGCTGTGGGCCTGACCAGCATAGGGCCTGGGCCAGGCCTGTATAAGATCCAACATAATCTTCTCCCAACAACTCGAGTTATTGAGACCAACTGGTTTATGACATGGTATCAGAGCCTAGAACCGAAAGGTCATGTGTTCGAATCTCCACGACCCCTAATATTAACTGTTGTCTTTCAAGCACATGGTATGGTGGGCCTGTGCAAACTTCAAGCCCATGGGTTGGCTTTCGTTTGAAGGGGCGTGTTAGAGAGTGGTATAAGATCCAACATAACCTTCTCCTAACAACTCGAGTTATTGGGACCAACTGGTTTATGACACTCCCTTCATTCTTTCTTCTGCTTCTTCACTACGAGGTAGGCATACATAAAAATACATAGTTTTTTCTCCTTCCTCCTCTTCATTTCTGTCAACAACACAGGGGTCACGCATACACTTCCCTCTTCTTACAGACAAGAAAGGAAAGAACAAAAGGATTTCTTGCTTCTTCTGCCTCTTCTTAACACTTCCTTCCCCTCTTTGAAAAAACAGGGCAGCAGACAAAAACAGCGAGACACTCTTCTTCTTCTTCTTCTTCCAGACAACTTCCTTCCTCTTCCTCCTCCTCACGAGCAGTAAAAAATAAGGCTCTCTACATCCTTTTTTCTTCTTATCAGTTGGAAAACACACGAACACCCAAAAAATTATTAGAAAAGAACATACTCTTCCCCTTTTTCTTCTTTCTTGGGTCGACATCACAGAGAGCAAAAAGAGAACACACAGTGGAAAGAAAACCCTCCATACTCCCTCTCTTTCGATAGACAACGTACACAAGGAAACATCAATCCTTCCCCCTTCCTCAAACAAAAACCGACAGAAAAAAGACTTCTCTACTTATTCTCCTCTTATTATGGGATAATTCCCTAAATACACATACAAGTAAAACAAATTCCTAAACTACCATATTTATAAAAAAATTTCCCAAAATACCTAAGTTTGGAGTGGTTCGAGTTTGAGGAACTCGAACTAATAACCGGTTCGAGTATAGTAGACTCGATCTAGTCGTAGATCGATGATATAAGCCTCGAACCATTGTGGGCTGAACTCGAACCACTTCTTCGAAATTTCCAACAACCTTAACTTTGTGCTCGGTTATCCGATCGTAGCAAACTTTTTATTCATTTCGTATAACTTTTCGAAGACTACAACTTTTATAATAGAAATATTTTCAGAATATATGTGAAAATGTGAAAATTAAAGATAAATTTACTTGAAAGCCCCTTATATTTAAAAATATTCCTATTTTGAAAATTTATTCCTAGTAAATGTTGTAGTACTCCAAACATTAAGCAAAATTAAAAAAACTTTGCAACGTTCGGATTGCGGAGCACAAAGTTATGATCCTCTAAAGTTTGACAAAATCGAAAAATTGCTCGTTCGGGGGTAACAAATGACGTTTTCTCGGGGCGAAGGTACGGGAAATTTTTTTATATATAGGGAATTCCTGCCAAAAGAGCAATATTTTTCCAAACGAGAAATTTTTGGATGGCTATCTTCCGAGAAAACATCATTTGCTACCCATAAACGAGCAAATTTATGAATTTGTCAAACTTTGGAGTATCATAACTTTGTGCTACGCAATCTGAACGTTGCAATTTTTTTTTTTTTTGCATAATTTTTTGAGTACTACAACATTTACTAGGAATAAATTTTCAAAATAGGAATATTTTTAAATATAAGGGATTTTGGAGTAAATTTATCTTTAATTTTCACATATATTCTGAAAATATTTCTATTATGAAAGTTGTAGTCCTCAAAAAGTTATGAGAAATGAAAAAAAACTCTGCTGCGATCGGATAACCGAGCACAAAGTTAAGGTTGTTGGAAATTTCAAAGGAGTGGTTCGAGTTCACTGAACTCGAACCACTTCAGCCCCACACGGTTCGAGGCTTATATAATCGATCTACGACTAGATCGAGTCTCCTACACTCGAACCGGTTAGTAGTTCGAGTTCCTCAAACTCGAACCACTCCAAACTTAGATATTTTGGGAATTTTTTTTATAAGTGTGGTAGTTTAGGAATTTGTTTTACTATTTATGGAATTATTCCTCTTATTATCCACACAACACCAAAGCTCAAAATGAAAAAAAGCAATGTTGTCAGAACCGAGCCGGAGCATGACCCGGTAACATGAACGGCTCGCACTTTATTGGTCCAACCGGTATCAGATCATTAAAAAACCGTTAGAAAACCGATACTTTATAAATAATAATATCATAAGTAAAAGACACATAAAATAGTAATTTAATGGCTAAAATAAAATTTACTTTACATATACCATTTAGTAATTTGACGATATAAGGCCATTAAAACCCTACCTCCCACCAACTTCCCATAGGTAGGGGTGTCCATTCGGGTTCGGTTTTTTGGGTTTACTCGAAACCGACCCGATTATATATATTTTTGGTTTTTTGGGTTCGGGTTTGTTTCGAGTTTCGGGTTCGGTTTCGCTTATCGGTTTTTCGGGTTCCGGCTAAAAACCTCCAATGAATAGAACTCAACCCGTATTTTACGGCGTTCGGGTTTTCGGGTTTCGGTTTTGCTTTAACCGAACCCGAACTCGATAAGATATTTTCGGGTTTCGGGTAACCGGAACCCACAAGTCCTTATCGGGTTTGGGTTCGGTTTTAGTGATTTTCGGTTTCGGGTTTTGGTTTGGGTAACCGAACCCGACCCGAACTGACACCCTTACCCATAGGCGCCGCCCTCTCCTAACCTCCTCTCTTCCTTTCCTCCTTTTCGTTTATGAAACTCCTCCTTTTCCTCAATATTTCTCTTTCGCCTTTTCCCCAACATGCATCTCTTCTTCATTTTCTCTTCTGAAAGAACCCCAAGTCCAAGTCGATTAATAAACCAAAAGTAAAAAACCGGCGCAATAGTTGAATAACCACCCGCTGTTCGTCAGTGCCTTCACCGAAGTCACCGGCGACGGCGAGGCCTTGTCCTTCGCCCGACATTCCCTTGCCTTCAAAGTTGTTTACCCATAAAAATTAATCTTGTACCACATCGATTAAAAACAAGGAATTAAATGGCTTTATAAGGCCAACTTAATTATATCAGTTTAAATCAGTTGAGTGGGCCATGAGGATTGGGTTTTTGGGCCCATTACTCCGTTCCACCACGCGCGCCATGCATATCCAAATTTGACTATGTACGAGAGCCACCCCCATGACACGCAGAGGGGGGTGGGCATCATACCACCACCCCCAGGACGTGGCAAGGGGGTGGACATCATACCGCCACCCCATGACATGGTGATGGGGGTGATTGCCGAATTTGGCTAAGGCAAGGAGTATGGGAGCTACCCCCAGGAGGTGCCAAGGGGGGTGGCCACCATCATACCACCCCCAGGACGTGGTAAAGGGGGGGGGGGTGATGGCCGAATTTGGCTAAGGCAAGGAGTATGGTAGCCACCCCCTGGAGGTACCAAGGGGAGTGGCCACCATCATACCACCTCCAGGACATGCCAAGGGGGGTGGCCACCATAATACCATCCCCCAGGACGTGGTGAGGGGTGGTGAGCATCATACCAAAACCCCCATGAGGTACCAAGGGGGGTGGCCATCATCATACCACCCCCAGGAGGTACCAAGGGGGTTGGTCACCATACTATCACCCCCAGGACGTGGTGAGGGGGGTGAACATCATACCGCCGCCCCCATGACATGGAAGATGATGAGGGTGGAAGGAGCAACCCCCATGAGGTGGTCTGGGGACCACCAACATAGCACCCCTATGGTATGATCAGGGGGTGAGGGGTCACCAACGCCAACTCCCATGAGGATGATATAGTGGCGGGGGTGATCCATATGACCCCCATGGAGGATGCCCAATGGTATGGTGAGGGGGTCACCAATGTACACCCCCATGGTATGGCCAAGGCAAGGGGGTCATGTGAGCAACCATTTTTACTCAATGGATAAGCAAAACTACGAAGGAGATGCCAAGAGCAGAGGTTTCAAGAGGAGGAAGTCAAGACTGAAGAGGATCCCACATCCAACATCAGGGTAACCGTCATAGCAGTTGAGTGGGTAACCGTCACTCCACGTCAGCAGAGCAGTTTCTTGGGGCAGTTACTTCTGGTGGCTATAAATAGGAGGTGAAGATGACAGAGAAAATGTTCGCAAAAATCTCAACTCGACACCACTTGTTAAGTTTTATCTTTTTTATCTTTTCCTCTGCAGATTTTAGCCATAGTCGTAGTTTTTGGAGCTCTAACTGAACCTCCATAGGAGTAGGGCTAATTTAATGTAGATTTGCCTCATAGTTCATCAAAACATTGAACACCCTTGTTTGAACTTTTTTCAAAGAGGTGTGAACTGTGTTGTTTGATCGTTTGTTTGGGAGTCAAAGGTGCAAAATCCAATTCTCTTTCCTTTATTTTTCTCGCCGGGAAAACAAATTGGCACACCTGGTGGGACACGTGTGTTCGATTTGATGGCTCCGAGGCGGAGGAATCAAGAAGGTGACGCTCTCGCTGGTTTTGTGGAGGAGCAAGTGGCCAACATTGAACATGGCCAAGTGTCAGAGGCGGTGGCCGGAAACAATGGTGGGGCGGAGATCCTACCAACGGCGACGCCTAGTGGAGATATTGGTGAAGCAGTGGGGGTCCTTCGTCAAATGATGGAGGAGAACCGCAAGCTGGTGGTAGAGAACCGTCAAGCCACAGAGGAGAACCGCCAAATGATGGTGGAGAACCGCCGCATGATGGAGGAGGCTAGAGCTGCTTCTCATCAGGTAAATTCTCAAATGGACTGTCTTAATTCTAGAGTTCATAGACGTCTAAGTCAATTACATGAAGTGGTTAATAAGAACAAAAGTGATTTTGATGAGTTTAGAAGATTTTTAACCACACCAATAATCCAGTCTAGAGCTCTGCCATTAGATGGCGGGAATCCAAACCCCATTAACGATTCTGTAAATTCTAGTTCATCTCCCGTCGGCGGCGGAAATGGTCAGCCACGGCAAGATAACCTCTTTCTGTCGATGACAAACCAACCAACTCCTCACCGCATGAATCGCGGCGAGATTCCTGCCACTACTCAAGTGGAAGGGGTACCCAATGTGGGAGTTGGAGAAATTCCCCCATGTGGTGAGAATTTGGGAGTTACACATTCTGCTCCAGTGGAACCGCCACCCATACCCATACCAGTGGCAAGGCCCTATACGGTGCCTGCTCACATGGGAGGGGAAGTAGGCTTAGGTGGGGAGATCAAGTTCCTCCCAGAGCATACCAAACACCCATGCCACCCCATTTCAATGGGCATGACATGGACCCCATGGGTTTCGTACCCCAAGGGGGGCAGCCAGGGGGGCATGATCCCAACACTCTAAGGGACCAGGTGGCTCAACTTCTTGCAGAGCAATTTGGCATGGGAGTGAGACCCACCATGCCACCTATTTATCGAAAACCATACCCTGAGTGGGTAGATAGACTCTACCCATTCCCAAGGGGGTTTAGAGTCCTCGAGTTTGCCACATTCACTGGGACATGGGACCAGTCTACTGTGGAGCACATTGGACGTTTTACCGTCCAGTGTGGGGATGTAGGAGATTTTATTAAGTTAAGAGTATTTGGAAACTCATTGATAGGACCTGCTTTTGCTTGGTATGTCAACTTGCCATCCAACTCCATCCAAACATGGCAGCAGATAGAGCAAATCTTCCATGCTCAGTTCTATAGATCTGAGCGTGAGGTTTCCATCGCTCACCCGGGAAGGAGTCATCGATCTCTTCCACGAAGTTGTCCACCGGAGGGTCTTCCAACCATGAAAGATGATCTGCAGCAACATTCTCGGCTCCCTTCTTGTCCCGGATTTCAATATCAAATTCTTGTAGAAGCAGGATCCAGCGGATGAGCCTAGACTTTGCATCAACCTTGCTCATCAGGTAGCGAATCGCCGAGTGGTCAGTGTAGACCACCACATGGGAGAGCACCAGATAGGGTTGGAACTTATCAAATGCATACACCACAGCGAGGAGCTCCTTCTCAGTGGTGGTGTAGTTCTCCTGTGCATCGTTCAAGGTCTTGGACGCGTAGTAGATGGGCTGGAAGTGCTTCTCGCGTCTCTGACCCAGAATTGCTCCGACTACATAGTCACTCACATCACACATCATCTCAAAAGGGAGAGACCAGTCAGGAGTCACCATGATAGGTGCATGGGTAAGCTTCTCCTTAAGAGTCTCGAATGCAGCTGTGCACTCAGGAGTGAACTGGAATGGTGCATCCTTCTCCAGCAGCTTGGTCAGAGGCAGGGAAATCTTCTCACGGACCATAAAATTGCACTTCTCCCAGCTGAGTGCCAGATTAGTCTCCTCACACCTCTTCAGAACGAGTTCTAGGTTATGGAGACAATGAGTGAATGAGTCTCCATAAATCGAGAAGTCATCCATGAAGACTTCCATGATCTCTCCGACCAGTCGGTCGAAGATCGCCATCATGCATCTCTGGAAGGTCGACGGTGCATTACACAGCCCGAATGGAATCCTCCGGTAAGCAAAAGTGCCGAAGGGGCAAGTGAATGTGGTCTTCGCCTGATCCTCTGGTGCAATAAGAATCTGGAAATAACCAGACATGCCATCCAGGATGCAATAAAACTCATGCCAACCTCTCCAGCATCTGATCAATGAAAGGTAGGGGGAAATGGTCTTTCCTGGTGGCATCGTTCAGGCGCCGGTAATCGATGCAGACTCTCCAGCCGGTCACGGTCCGCATCGGGATCAGCTCTTTCTTCTCATTCGGGACCACCGTCATCCCGCCTTTCTTCGGGACCACCTGAGTGGGGCTGACCCACTTGCTATCAGATATAGCAAAGATGATCCATGCATCCATGAGCTTCACAATCTCTGCCCGGACCACTGCCTCCAAGTTAGGAGACAATCTCCGCTGTGGCTGCCTGACTGGCTTAACCCCATCCTCCATCAGAATTCTATGGGAGCAGAAGGATGGGCTAATGCCTCTGATGTCTGTGATCTTCCATGCCATGGCCCGGGCATACTTCTGCAGCAGAGCCACCAGCCTGCTCTTCTGCTCGGTTGTCAGATCCGAGCTGATAATGACCGGGAGCTTATTCCTCTCCCGGAGAAATGCATACTCCAGGTGAGAGGGGAGGGGCTTAAGCTCCAGCTCTGGTGGCTCCTCCAATGATGTAGCGATCCGGGGCGAGATAGGGATCGACTTGAATGGTATCTCTTGCCCCTCGATCGCGGCCTTGTCTAGCTCCGCGAGCTGCTCCGCCAACTGCACGTCCTGTGATGCCTGTTCCCCTAGAAAAAGACATCGCTCAAGGAAATCATCAGTACCCGCACTAGTGATAGCGAGTGCGGTCTCAAAATCAACAACAACATCACAGTAGTCTAAATCATCAAGGAGCTGGGGGGGGGGGTGTTTCATATTATCAGAAACAGAGAAGGTGATTTGTTCACCCCCAGCTCGCAAAATCAGTTTTCCATCATTCACATCAATGAGTGCCTTGGCGGTGGCGAGAAAAAGTCTACCCAATATTAATGGCACATCCACATCCTCATTTATGTCCAAAATCACAAAATCAACAGAATATGAGAATGACCCTACTGCGACTATCAAGTCCTCTGCAATGCCCCTAGGATGCACAATGGATCTACCAGCAAGTTGAATACTCATCCTAGTATCACTGGGTTCACCTAGGCCTAGCTTTTTAAACAGTTTATATGGCATGACATTTATGCTAGCGCCTTAATCCGCCAAGGACTTCCCTATATGCAAACTACCAATCATGCAAGGAATAGTGAAACTCCCTGGGTCTTTTCGCTTCTCTGGTAGTTTGTTCTGCGGGATGGCAGAACACTCCTCGTTGAGCATCACCGTTGACAGCTCCCCAAGCTTCCTCTTGTTGGTGAGGAGATCCTTCATGAACTTGGCATACTTGGGCATCTTCGATAATGCCTCCACGAAGGGCATGCTTATGTTTACCTGCTTCAGCATTGCCATGAACTTGGCAAACTCAGTCTCCAGTCGGTCTTTGTGCAACCGAGTAGGAAAGGGAAGCTGCGGTACATACTCCTTCACCACTGGTTGCGGTTTAGGAGCAGGCACCTCAACTTCCTTCTCCATTTCCTCTTCATTAACTGGAAGTGCTGAAGCAGGGGTCTCTCTCTCTTCTGCCCGAACAGGTGGATCGGCAGTCACCTTGCCACTGCTGGTGGTAATGGCCTTGCAGTGCTCATTCGGGTTCTGCGGATGAGGGATGGTCTGATCGGGTAGAGTACCAGGAGGCCTCTAAGCTACAGTCTGAGCAACACTCCCAAGCTGGGTCTAGCTCCATGAATTTTCCTAAAGCTTTCTCCATGAACTGCTCGATGTTATTGAACTTGTTTGCACTAGAGGTGGCCAAAGAACCCACCAGATCTCGCAGTTCCGCCATCGGGTCACTCTGTACTGGGGCTGCAGGTGCTGCCCCTGTCTGATGAAATGGTCGCACCTGTGACTGAGGTGGAACTGGCCCCTGTCTGGGCGGGTAGAGAGGCTGCTGTGGCTGCTGAAACTGCCCTTGTCTGGGCTGGTATGGAGGCCTCCGGAAGCCAGGTGGTCCCTGGGGAACTTATGGTCTGGAATTTGCCCCACCCCAGGAGAAGTTGGGATGCTGGCGCCACCCCTCGTTGTAAGTGTTGTTGTAGGGGTCGAAGCGCCTGGCATTGCCGATAAAGTCCAGCTGCTCCTAGGGAGTAGAAGACTCCCTCATTGCCTGACAATCCTCCACTGTGTGATGAGATTTCTCACGCCACTGGCAAAACATCGCCTGCTGATGTCCGGTACCTGCAATCATCCCGGAACGATCGATGGGTGAAACCAGCTTCGATACCAGCTGCACCAAATCAGATGACTGGGTGGATACAACATGCACACCCCGTCCTGATGCTCATCTCAATCTCCTCGCAGTTGCCCAGTCATAGCTTTGCTCTGCCATCTCTTCAAAGAGTTGATTCAGCTGTGGCGGTGTTTTGGTGAGCATATTCCCGCCACAGACTGAGTCAATCAGCTGCTTGTCTTCTGGAAAGAGGGCATGGTAGAAGGTTCCCACCTTGAAAGCGTCAGTAAAACCATGGTTGGGACACTTGAGGAAGAGACTGGTGTACCTCTCCCAAGCATCCCTGATGGTCTCATCTTCATCCTGAGCAAAGTGGGTAATTTGCTTCTGCAGGTCCGCCGTCTTGGACAGGGGATGGTAGCGAGTGAGGAACTTGTCCGCCAGATTGGCGAACGTGGTCCTGTGGATCACCCATCTCTTCTTCGTCGGCGATTTGCAGCTGTGCTAGCGCCTCCTCCGCAGCCAGTCGCGCCTTTAGAGCCCGCTTGAAGTTCCTGCAGGTTCGTTCAAGCTCCTGGTCTAATGGTAGTAGATCTCCCGACTGGCTATGTGTCATGCACTACCTGCACACAATCAGCAGAAGCAACCCGTGAAGGCACACAGGTGGAAGAGAGAAAATGCAGTAAAGAAAAAGCTAGAGTAACAAACTTTCACGTTTCCCCAATAACCTAGAGTTTCTCCGGCAACGGCGCCAAAAACTTGACACGCTACGACACAACACCAAACTGCTACCAAGTGTAATCGCAGTCCAGGAATGCAGTAAAGTGGCAAGTCTAATTATCAACCCGGGGTCTAGATCTACTGCCTACTCTGTGAATATCTATTATCTAGCCAACTAAGCTGATTGATTGTTGTTTTAACTAAAAGCAGTAAGAAAGCAGGAATTGGTTCGGTTTTCTAAAGCAAAGGAAGAGTCACTCGGGAATGAGTCCCCCTAGCTCCTTAGTTAGGTCTCAGTTGTAATTACCCTGGGTTGATTTACTGTTGATTAAACTGCGGAAAATCCGACAGTAGCTTGGAATCTCTTAAGCTGACCAAGCCCTCTCAGTCTAACTACCCGGCAGACGACTAGTCTTCACCGGGATAGAAAGCTGAAGCAATAAGCACAGAACTCCACTACTGGAATTGGATTCCAGTACAAAGCAGTAGACTGACTAACTCTCGTATAGCCAATCTACTACTACCGAATGAAGAAGCTCTAACAACCTAATCAGATTCTATCTATCTCAGGTTGCAGCAGAAATCAAGAAAAGCTAATCAGACTTCAATCAATTCAATGAAACTTGCATCATTCGGTTAAAACCAAACAGTATAATCATCCCAAGTCATTACAATCATGATCCCTAACACATGGAACTAGGGTTCTTCATACCCAAGTGAGAGAAGAGTTCTACTCCATAGAGAGAGATGGGAAAACAGAATACAAAGCAGTCATACTCATAACAATGGGAAGAATCTGCTATGGGATGATGATCTTCACTCCTATGATCATCTCCAAGCTTGATTTGATGAAACCCAGCTCCAAGATCGCTTCTAGGATGAGTTCTTCGCACTTTTTCTCTCTAGGGCTCTGTTTTTGCTCTGAAAAGTTGATCCTCTCACTTGTGGCTCGAAATTGGGTAAAAACCAGAATTCCCGACTCACACGGGCAGACCACATGGCCATGTGGCTTACCCAGATGCCCGTGTGAGTTCCAAAACGCAGCGTTCCGATTAAGTGGATTTCAGGCTTCCTACACGGCCAGGGACACACGGCCGTGTGGAGTCTCCAGTATGCCCGTGTGAAGCCTCGCTAAATCCCACACGACCACATTGGTTCCTTACACGGCCGTGTGGGTTTTATGAGTGCCCGTGTGGCTTCCTCAGCGACTCGCCACACGTCCGATCTTCGTCCAATCGACCCCGAACTCGCTCCCAAACCTTCATTCACGTACTAGGACCTGAAATATCACAAACAAGCACAACCTAGCGTGAAATCGGTCTAAAACACGAGAATCAACATCTCAAACGGCTCAATAATAGAGGTAAAAACATGTGCAATTAACGGTCTATCAAACTCCCCCACACTTAACCGTTTGCTTGTCCCCAAGCAAACCAAGTCAGACACAAGGTAAGCTCACATATTTCAATCATACCAACATTGGGGACAAATCATATAGGCACAGAATACGTGAATCATACTGGTTTTCAAACATCAACACATGAATAACTTCAATAGCAACCTGGACAACCACCACAGAAGACATTTGAGTGCAGCAAAATCGAGTAAAGGAGGAGTCTCCCTTCTGTTCATCAACCAACATAGACTTGACTCAACCACTTACTCAAGACAGTCACCTCATGCATAAACTCCAGAGATCAGAATCAAGACCGAGCCATCTAGGTCCTCACCGGGGTAAAGAGTGTAAAGAACAAGGAAATGAATCGCTCACAAGGGGGTAGACCAAATTGTGCCCCCATCCAGCCACGGAAGTATTCATTTGATATTTCTAAAGCCGACTTGATATTTGACCAACTCTACAAAGATGGTCAAATCAAGTTGACAGGGAGGCATAAAATCCCACCCCCTGAGAAGTTAAGAGGGAAAACATATTGTAAGTGGCATAACAACATGCTACACTCCACAAACTCATGTGTGGTTTTTTGCAATTTATTGCAGGATGTCATTGAGAAGGGTCGCATCAAGCTCCCCGAGCCAAAGAAAGATGCCATGTTGGTGGATACCAACCCATTTCCGAATTTGCTTGGTGTCAACATGGTTAACCCAGACTTCTCAAAAATTGAGCTCCCCCGTTTCAAGCTGGTGTTGGATACAACAACGCAACAAGGGACCCCCACCATGGTGTTCGAGCAGGGAGAGTCATCGAAGGGTATGCAGGCCAACTCGGCCGCTTCTAAGGTGTCAAGTGGGGTGGAGAAGCTATGTGCCCAATGCAAAAGGAGTTCTAGACTTGATGAGGTGAGACCGAATCGACCAGTCCAACAAAGAATTGGTCCACCCCATAGGCCGAGATACCCATCCTATCAAAGACAAGTAGAGGGGGTCATTCAACCGACATGGGGGCAAAGAAGGCAATGGGTGGCACATGACCCTCTTCCCATGAGAAGGACTTCTAAGATGCCCAATGTGCCACAAGGAGTGGGGCATACTTATGATATGCATAGTCAACCAGTAGCTATTGGGGGGATGACAAAGACTCAAAGGAGGAGATTCCTACGTAAGAATGCCAAAGCACGAAAGGGGCAATACCCAGTAGTACCTGGTGAGATGGTGAGACCAACACAACAAAATGAGGATGGTCATGCTAGTATTGAGGTGGACAACTCTATGACCACGGGTTCCAAAGTGATAGTGTCTGATCAGGGCAAGCATGCCCAAGTCCAAAGTGATGGTAAGGGTCAGAAGGAAAAAAAATGGTGTAGGGGGTGATTCAAAGTCAGCTTGTGAAGAATCATCTCCTTTGAACAACCATGGCCATATGGTGTATGGTTGGCTTGTTTGGTTTAATATATGGACTTGGCAGTGGATGTATACCTTTGGCACTTTGGTTATTGCCAAAGGGTATGGAGATCAATGATGCTTGTAACTACTTATATATACAATAAAAAAATGTAAATTTTTTTTATATTAATTAATATAGAAAAGCCAATCATGGCTATATATATATTTAAAATCCCAAAGTGGCAAGTTTCAGAAGAAGTTAGTAGGTTTTTTATGTGAGAATCTTGCCACGACTGGTAAGCCTCAATCATTACTCGTATTGTCAGGCCATTAAGGTGGCCTAACCATGCCAAACTTTAAAATTTTGTAAGGTGGACTATATACCCCATGACAAGACATGGAGGTGATGGTGAATGGCATGGAGTATGATTAGTAGTAGTTTGGATTAACTAGGGGGGCATGATGTTGTTCTAGCCCAATAGCTTCAAAAGATACCACGTCGTATGATTTAAGAGTGACCATAACAGTTGGTGGTCACAGTGGCATGGGGGGCACTGTTGTGTCGAGATGGAAGGACTATGGAATAATTATGTTTGACTCCCTTCCTTCCTCCCACACGGCAGCAAAGGAGAAGAAATTGGGATTGTTTTGGTCATTTAAATTGTAAGGCCAACTATTTGAGTTTGATGGCCTAATTGGTGTGAAACTACTTAGTCCATAATTCTTATGCACTAAGTAGTTGGGGGGCATTTGTTTACCCATAAATATTAACCTTGTACTACATCGGTTAAAAACAAGGAATTAAATTGCTTTATAAGGCCAACTTAATTATATCAGTTTAAATCAGTTGAGTGTGCCATGAGGATTGGGTTTTTGGGCCCATTACTCCGTGCCACCACGCGCGCCATGCTTCCCATGCATATCCAAATTTGACTAAGTACGGGAGCCACCCCCATGACACGCAGAGGGGGGTGGGCATCATACCACCACCCCCAGGACGTGGCAAGGGGGTGGACATCATACCGCCACCCCATGACATGGTGATGGGGTGATTGCCGAATTTGGCTAAGGCAAGGAGTATGTGAGCCACCCCCAGGAGGTGCCAAGGGGGGTGACCACCATCATACCACCCGCAGGACGTGGTAAGGGGGGTGATGCCCGAATTCGGCTAAGGCAAGGAGTATGGTAGCCACCCCCAGGAGGTACCAAGGGGGGTGGCCACCATAATACCACCCCCAGGACGTGGCGAGGGGGGTGGGCATCATACCAAAACCCCCATGAGGTACCAAGGGGGGTGACCATCATCATACCACCCCCAGGAGGTACCAAGGTGGTTGGCCACCATACTATCACCCCCAGGACGTGGTGAGGGGGGTGGGCATCATACCACCATCCCCAGGACGTGGCAAGGGGGGTGAGCATCATACCATCACCCCCAGAAGGTACCAAGGGGGTGGCCACCATCATACCACCCCCAGGACGTGGCAAGAGGGGTGTGCATCATCATACCACCCCCAGGAGGTACCAAGGGGGGTGGCCACCATACTACCACCCCCAGGACGTGGCAAGGGGGTAGACATCATACCGCCACCCCCATGATATAGAAGATGATGAGGGTGGAAGGAGCAACCCCCATGAGGTGGTCTGGGGACCACCAACATAGCACCCCCATGGTATGATCAGGGGGTGAGGGGTCACCAACGCCAGCTTCCATGAGGATGATATAGTGGCGGGGGTGATCCATATGAGCCCCATGGAGGATGCCCAATGGTATGGTGAGGGGGTCACCAATGTACACCCCCATGGTATGGCCAAGGTAAGGGGGTCATGTGAGCAACCATTTTTACGCAATGGATAAGCAAAACTACGAAGGAGATGCCAAGAGTAGAGGTTGAGGTTTCAAGAGGAGGAAGTCAAGACTGAAGAGGATCCCACATCCAACATCAGGGTAACCGTCATAGTAGTTGAGTGGGTAACCGTCACTCCACGTCAGCAGAGCAGTTTCTTGGGCAGTTACTTCTGGTGGCTATAAATAGGAGGTGAAGATGACTGAGAAAAGGTTCGCAAAAATAACAACTCAACACCACTTGTCAAGTTTTATCTTTTTTATCTTTTCCTCTGCATATTTTAGCCATAGTCGTAGTTTTTGGAGCTCTCACTGAACCTCCATAGGAGTAGGGATAATTTAATGTAGATTTGCCTCATAGTTCATCAAAACATTGAACACCCTTGTTTGAACTTTGTTCGAAGAGGTGTGAACTGTGTAGTTTGATCGTTTGTTTGGGAGTCAAAGGTGCAAAATCCAATTCTCTTTCCTTTATTTTTCTCGCCGGGAAAACAAAAGGAAATAGACACGAACAGTGGAGAGTGGCGAGATTCCTCGTTAGTCGTTGCTAGGCAGGGGCGGAGCCAGGATTTCGAGACCGGGTGGGCCGAAAATAGATAAATGTAAATAAAAATAAAATTATTTTAAAATTCTACAACGTTCTTTGAGATCATTGAAATATCTCAAAATAGCATCTGGGCTAAAAAATTTAGCTATCTTTCTTTCAATATAAATAACTAAATCATTAATAAGAAACTCATCATTTATTTTGTTTCACAATCTATTATTCACTATCTTTATACCTGAAAACATGCACGATCACATGTAGCTTTAGAAATTTGGAAGAGTTAGAAGAAGACAAATCAACCTATCAACAAAATAAAATTCCTTTGGCACTAATCTTTATGTTCATTCCGACATAGATAAAAAAAATAGATCATATAGTTTGTATAAAGAGCAAAAAATCCCAAGTGAACTAAATAGAGGTTGATTTTTTCCCAAGTAAAATTCCTTTGGCACTAATCTTTATGTTCATTCCGACATAGATAAAAAAATAGATCATATAGTTTGTATAAAGAGCTAAAAATCTCAAGTGAACAAATAGAGGTTGATTTTTTCATTTTGTAGGTGGATTAAACTAACAAAAAGAATGAAAAGGAGTGAGTGTCCGTTTTCTTTGGTCCAAGACCTTGTGGAGGAGAATTAAGATAATAAAGTCCAAAAAGAAGTTAAAGAAAAAACGAGGTTGTTGTGGATCAAACTTGTTTGCTTTAAGCTAAAAGTTTAGCTTAGTTACCAATAAACTACATGATTGTTATATGATACAATGTATAGGTCGAGCGCTACTTATCTAAATTTTATCTAAATATTCTTACGATCCTAGGGGCCGAGACTATTCCCGGGTGGACCGGGGCCCGCCCTACTCTTTGAGTAGCTCCGCCCCTGTCGCTAGGTGGTCAGGCTAAGATCAAAGAAGTTCCGGAAAGCGGCAGCACAAGGGGAGGGCGGTGACCTCAAATGAACCCAATTTCCCCAATTCATAGTAGAAATCATACCTAAGTTCCCAAAACACAAAAACCATCAAATCAACCGTATCATCACAGAAAACAGAGCTCAAACAAAAATAGAACCTAACCTAACCCACAAACCAAGTCAGCTGGTGCCGCCGGCGATGACTCACTCTCTTCCCAGTCATGCTTTCCCTCCTCTCTCGGCCAAAAAGAAAGAAACCAGAAAAAACCTAGGTCTACATCTCTAAAATATCCAAATAAAAACACAAACACAAGCATGCATTAGAATTGAAATACCCGATAAAACCTAAAAAATACGAAAAATCGGCATACAAACAAAGAAAAACCAAATTACCTTCGTATCATCCTCATCGTTAGCTCCCCCGCCGCTGTCATCCTTCCTTCCTTACCTTCTCGTCACTACCAGAAGGGAAAGCGATAGAGATTGGATGGAGAAGTGAGAGTGGAATAAGGCGATGGATTGAAGAAGGAGATGATTTGATTTCATTGGCGATCGATCTAAGGCAATCGATCAGTTTCCGGGAAAGAAAGAAATGAGAGAGAAGAGAGATGGGTGGAGCGGCGCTTAGAGCATCCACATCAATGCAATTGCAAAACCAATTGCAATTTTTGCTTTTTTTTGCCAACTCAAGAATAACGCAATCCAACTCATTTCAATTTAATTGTACCTACCAGACCGTTTGGTACCAAATGAATCGATAATTCATTTCATTGTAAAATGAATTACCGTGTAGAATTCATTGTCAAATGAAATCCTATGTTTGGTATGTTATATTCAAATCATTGAAGTGTCGTGTAGAATTCATTGTCAAATGAATTTCTATGTTTGATATGTCATAAGTATAAGTAATTTAGTTAATAAAAGAGGATAATGATGTCATCTATTATAATTAGTAAATAGTTGTGGAATTCATTTGAAAATTCTATCTCAATTCCTCGGAATTTCTATAACTAGTTCCAATTCCGTAGAATTCAAAATTTAGAATTGAAAATGAATTCTTTTTAATACCAAACACAAAAATATTCCATTTCAAAATGAATTTCTCAAAACTTATGGAATTCATTTATATCAAACGGTATGTACATCAATGCAATTCATTTGTAATTACAATAAAAAAAATAACACACAATTGTACCTACACCTAAAATATATTTTATGCTATTTAAATAACATTAAAAAAAAGTAGCCAAACCCCCTAATCAGTCACGTTGAATTGCATATGGGCTTTCACCATATGAAAGCATGCATATTTGCAAGCACTTCACACATCAGTAAAATTCATTTTGCAATTGCAAGAGCACATCCACGAGATGATGAAAGTGGAAAATGGTAGCCGATGGAAATGTTGTTAGCTAGGACAAATTAATTAGATTTCGATTTAGCCTTAAGAGAGGTCTCGGGGTTAAATGACTAACTTGCCCCTCCGATGTGTTTGAAAATTACGACAGTTGCCACCGTCCTTTCCACCTTAAAATGACAAAAATAAAAATACTGCTCCTTTTAGTCTCAAACCTGAGACCATCAAGTCACCACTAGCCCTAAGTTGGGGCAATTAGCCACTAAGTCATATCATGATGCTTGAAACTATATTCTCTTCATTTCAATTTATTTGTGTTTAAACTTAATACACAATATTTCTATCGATTAATCTTGCTAAGATTTTTTGCTTTCACCAAATTATGTATGTATCTAAATATTTCAAGATATTAAAAAACATTGGTTACCACATTCTCTTTGGCTTCATTATTCATACACATACTCGTTTTACTTCGAAAGTTCCTTAGTACGAAATCGTTGGTCAATAGACCGCGATAGTCATTATGACGAAATTTCTCATTACCTTCAATCATTCAAATACCAAATTACAATAATCAAAATAAATTTCCCCATGAAAGCTAAATATCAAGTTCAACCACGTATCAATAGAAATGTGTTACTATCACCTTTTCAAATCACTCTTTTTTAAATCGAATTACGCGAACTTTGATCCCGAATATTCGGGTATGTAGGCAACCAATAAGTTCGAGTCCAACAAATCAAAAACTCTTTCTTAATTTTGAGAATTACGTCAATAGGCGTATGATGAAATTGTATATCAATAAATATCAAATTAATTGAATTTTATAATTAAATATCCAAATAAGGCACAAATTATAATACATTCATTCTCAAAAACTTATCGATTTAATTAGTACCAATTTTGGGCATTGTAGGGTGTGAATACACTAATTCACACGTAACTGCACTCCCGAACCCGTAATCTCTAAATTCGTAGACCAAATCCTGGTTTCGACTCTAAGGTCGAGACCAGACTATTTGTTCGATCCACCACAATTAAGTTCGATGGCTACTCCGAGCGTGGCGCGACAATTCCTCCGATTACGAGGGGGCTGCTGCGACAGCGACGACGACTACGAGGAGTCACTCCCCTGTCCTTTTTGTTGCTGCTTCAACGTTCGCCCGCAATCCTCCAACGCGTTCCTACTGTCAATCCGCCATCTTCTCGCGACATAGAGAACGAACAAAGGAAAAGATGGATTAGAGAGAAGATCGGAGCACGAGGGACTGCCTGAAATTCCGAGCACGATCTGAATCTATGGCGCGATGGACGATGAAGGCAAGGGAGCATCTGATTTCTAGAGAGAAGAGAAGTGGATTTTGGGGTTCATCAATTGTATTGATTAGTTTTGGGTTTGGGATTCAATCAGGGTATGGGATTGGTTCAGGGTTTTGGCTTCAATCTTGGTCTTCAGCTTCCCGAAATTGGGTCATGGATGGAGAAGACAGAAGAACACATGATGATGGCAGGGAAGGTGATCACCGATCGTAGGGGGCGGAGAGGAAGGGGTGAGGGATTGGGTTTTCTGGGTGTCTAGGAAAGGTGAATCGCCGGTCGCAGGGGCGGAGAGGAAGGGGTGACAAATTGGATTTTTTGGGCGGCTAGGGGTGACGGAGCTGAGCGAGATCGAAGAAATGGAAGATGAATCCGCCGTCGCTTGCTGTCCCCAGCCACTGTTGGGGTAGAAGAAAGGAGAAGAAGGAACGAGACATGGATTGGAGAAGTTTACATTTTTTTTAATTTTAATTTTTTTTAATTGAAAATATGGTGTGCTTGGCATTGGCATGGCTGTCACATCAACTAAATTCAATGTCGAGTTGACCACCGTCTAGCCAATCGTTATCTATAACGGTCAACAAAATCGCAGGTCATGAATGACACACAATTATAATAGTTTGGGACACAAATGACACTTTCTTGATAGTTCAGGCTTCCTAGTGGAATTAACCCTAAATATATAAATTATGTGTAAATTATTCATTTAACTAATTGGATATGAATATGTAACGTGTTATATGAGCTTTATATGTGTTTAGTAAGAGATCCATCAAATGAACAAGGAAAACACAACGATTTAGTAATAATATGGAAATGGAAGTTTGGAATATATAAAATATATATATATATATATATATATATGATTCAGTCTACCGTACGTCAGACGTACATCGTACGCCCATAGAGTTTTACTATTTAGAGCACGAATTAACCGGAGTTTGTGGCATGATACTATACCCTAACCTCTAATGACTGAACCCCAGACCCTAATTTTCTAACCCAAGCCACAAGATTCATTTAATCTAAAAAATAATAACCGACGGTTCTAATTGAGCGAAATATATTGAAAGTGCAAAAATCAAATGTGAACACAGGTGTACGACGTTAGGGGTAGGCATCCGGGTCGACAAATCCAAACCGAATCGAAACTAAATTAAACCGAACCGAAACCGAAATGATGCTATTCGGTTCGAAATTCGGAAGGAACATATGAATATTTCGGAAACCAGGGTTCTTTCAACCAAACCAAAATTCTGAATTACAACCAAAAACCCGAATAACTATAATTGTAAGCTCCAAATGGTGATTTTTTTTTTAATGTTTGCACTTGTTTTGAGACTTAAATATTTGAATCATGTTATGGTTTTATAACTTATGTGTTGAAATGTTTGACTTTATCATTGATGATGCATATAATTGCATATTTATTGTTTACATTAGGAGTAAAAAATAATTTAAAAGGAAAAAGTTATAAGTCGCCTCAGAAATTCAGTTTTATGTAAAATTTCAAACCGAACCGAATTATAATTTGGTTTAGACCGCCCAAACCGAATTAGAATTTGGTTAGAATTCGGTTTGGTAGAATTCGGGGATCCGGTATACATAATTTTGGTTCGGTCGAAACCGAACCGACCAAATGTCCACCCCTATATAGTGTACGCCTGATGTACGCTAGCCTTTGCCATATATATATGGTGTCGTATTCGGTGCACCCACTTTTTCGGGTGCACTCAGCGCACCCGCCTCATAATCGTCTTTCTGACCATGTGATTCATGTCAAAACGGTATCAATTGTTGCTTATGATATTATGAACAAGAAGCACATGAATTTGAAAAAAATTCATTCAAAATTTACTTTAATTCGAAGGATTTGTGATTTAGGGATTTAAGGTTAGGGTTTAGGTTTACAATTTGAGATTTTGGGTTGGGATTCAAAATTGAAGGTTAAGGGGTTAGGGTAATGGATTGATTTGTTATGATTCTATGTCATATCATCATATTATATTGAGAGTACTAATTAAAATTCAAAATTGATGTATACATACGAGCACCTAATTTAGATAAAATGCATACATTATTTTGGATGAAAATCTGAAAAAGAAGGAATTTTTCACCCTCTGATAGTTCCAAAAAGACTACGACAATTCACACCCCCAATTCATGAACATCATACCATCCACACACTAGTTGGTGTCCGGCCCGTTGGCCGGAATAATTTTGTTTGTTGTTTATATATTCGATGTGATAATTAACATAAGAGCCTTAAATCAAAATTTTGGAATAAAAATTTGTGTAAAATTTCATTCTAGTGCTGGTAGTTTATGAATTAGAAACTATTTGACAACTTTTAGATTATTTTGGTCTACCTTTGAATACGCCTTGATGAAATTTTTGGGTTCGGCATTAATTAGCATATAGCATCATTATCTCTTGAAATAATATAATATTATTATTTTTTAAAATAAGTTACTCATTTCCTTAATTTTCTTACAATTCAGTTACAATTTAACTGGAATTTTTATAATTCGAACTTACCAAGTTATAAGTTCTAAATGCGAGGTTTTTTCTAATGCACTCAATTATCACTCATGGATTATATACTTGTAATAGACTATTGATTTCATATATTCTCATATGATATAAGTTTCTCTAACTTTCAAAGTCATAATTGTTACGTCAACAATATTATAGCAAAACCCACCCATAATGGAACTCCACTTAAACGTTTCGTCAATAAAACTACATACAAATGAGATTTAAAAAATCATAATAGAGGTTACATTAGCAAGAGTGGCCAATGGAATATTAGGAATAAGGAAAGTTGATGGGGATGCATAGGTAAATTTGCATCAAGGATTTGGTTTTATGTCACAAATCCCACAACCTCATAAATCCAAATAATGGTTTGGACCCAAATTCACGAAGCAAACGACCACTGAGTAATAGTAAAATTGTAAAGCAAGAGCTCGAGAGCTTATATTTTAGAAGAACCCAAAATTAAGAGCATGAATAGAACTTATCATTGTATTATTTTATTTTTTTTATTTCAATTAAATCAATACCAATGTGTGATAGAATTGTTTTTTTGTCATTATCTAATATAATTCTTTTTGTGTCAGAATAAAATTGAACTCAATCTATAAACCTAACCAAAGCGAACAGGTTGTCTAATATAATTATTAAACGCAACTAATAAATTAAAAGTGAGAAAAAATGGAGAGAATTTATATTAAATTATATCACTGACATAAGGAAATTTTTTTTTTGGAGAGAATTCATAATAAACGCAACTAACAAATTAAAAGAAACGTTTGTCAATATTTTATACATTTTATCTATCTTTTTATTTTCTTACTATTTTTCATTCTTATCTTATCCCTCATCCACCACCAGCAGCACTCAGTCACTTTCTTCTACAAAGCACATTTCTCAGCCCTCTCTCTCCTGTCTTTCTTCTGCAACACAGAGTAATTCCTTTTCCCCTTCTCTCTTCTAAACTCTGATTTTCACCACCATGCAATCGGCGAATGAGCTTTTATCTCCCAAAATCTCATAATATATAAACTAATCGACATTGTCGAGTTTCGATCATAATGTTATTTTGACGGGAAGAAGATGAATTGATGACATCAGACCAATGATTCATGGTGCCGTTTAGGAAAGGGATAGAAGGAGATGAGTCTCTTTTCTCCTTGATCGATATCTGAATTTGTTGCTTCCATTCTTTCTCACTTCTCAAAAGGATTAAGATTTTGTTGTAGCCATTATATATGTTTAAGTTCTCTTGTCACTCTTCATTTGGGAACAGCTCTTTCTCTTTTTGATGTACTTCCATATATTTTGTTTATGAATGTGCTTTATTTCATTATAAGATCTAATTTGGATTTCCGAAGCCATTTTGGGAGGCATAGGGCGAGATAGTCAAAGTGAAGTATTGAGAATTATTTTATTAATAAAGATGAAAAGAGAAATTAACTCGTTTGTCCCTCCTTGTCCGTAGATTGCAAATCGAATTATGACATCGGGATTGAGGGTGCAGCTGTGGGAATGGATTAAAGGTAAGGGGAACGAAGCGGCGGCGGGAGGAACAAAGAAGCGGCGGCGGGAAATGGAAGGGCAGGGCAATGCCGGGTATTTCTGTCGGGAGGGTTTGGGAGAGGAGGAGTCAAATTTCCGGTACGGTTGGGCGAGAGAGATAGGGAGAAAGAGAAGTATTGAGAATGACCAAAAAGCCCATCCGCATTGTGCGGATTGATCGTCAGCGGCTGACGTGGCAAAAAAGTTTGCCTGACATTCCCTTATATTATTTTCTGTAGATGTATTTTCGTTAGGTAACTACTTCTAATGGCTCTGAGATAATTGTATTAGTTGCGTGTATTTATGTTAAGGGCTAATTATGTATTGATTGTTATGTTTTATTCATTATATAAATCAAGAACCGATCTGTAATCTCCCTCCTTTCTTGGCTTTGGCCTCCTTGAATGCAACAATAAATCAAGAACGGATGCATTAACAAGATTTTACTTTCTCACGTACTTATAATGTTATGATATATCGGTTAATCTGGTTAGCCAATTGATCAAACCGATTAAAATTTAATTTGATCAATTTGATTGTTGTTTTAATTTGGTTATGAATTTATGATATAGTAGTCTTAATTAATTTGGTAATTACCGGATAACCATTTCAACACCCCCCATCCAAAATTCCAACAATGAGTATCTTCAATTCATATCACCGCTTTTCATGCATATTATCTAGCAGACTTGACTAGCAGTTATTGTGGCTGAAAGTTTCTACATATAAACCTTCTATCTCATATAAAAACACAGAACCACTGGCTCATCTTCATCGATTACTTAACAAGAAAAGAAACCCTAATCATCAATATATTACTCTTAAAACATTGATGAATGATGAGGCAGAACAACACTATCTTAGTGGTAACGGTGTCGTTCCTCTTATTATTATCCACACCAGCCTTATGCATTCCGAGGTATGGATTAACAAGGGTGGTGGTGATTAATGATCTTGGAGGAGGGCAGGAACTCAGGCTCCACTGCGGGTCGAAAGACTACGATCTCGGCATCCGAATGCTTAAGCCACACCAGGGCTTCCGATGGCGGTTCCGACCAAGCTTTTTCGGAAACACACTGTTCTATTGTTCCGTGGAATGGGGAGCGGCGGCGGCGGGAGAAGTTCACTGGTTTGACGTGTACGATCAGGTCAGGGATGAAGATAGGTGTACAATATGTCGTTGGCTGATCAAGGAAACTGGGCCTTGTTTCTCTGATGAGGAAGGCGAATCAGGTGATAGTACTTGTCAAAGTTGGAACGAAATTGGGAGGTAGAGAAAACAGGGTTCTCATTAGATCATTCGTATTATCAAATAAAAAAAGATGCAATCGTTACGGTTCCGTTGGTCGGAATGTTCATATTTGATTATATATATTTTTATTTTATGTTTAAGTCTATCAATCTGTTTAATTTTATTGACAATCCTATGATCGAAATGATACATAAAGAAAGAATATATGGGTCGAACAGTCGGAAAAATATCACAATCGTTTAAGAATGTGAAATATAAAAATATATCATTGATCCTATTTTCATATAGTGATAATTAAGCCCCTGTTAAAATGCTATTGGTTAGTTGATTGTCAAGAAAGATAGAGTATAAAAGCTCAATAGAATTCCCGCACGACCCATAGATAGTTCGAAACTAAATCTTATTAAACCGCACAAATCCTACAAAAAAGGTTCAATGCTCTCCTCTCAGAAAAATCTGTCACTAATTAAAACGAAATCGAGAGTTGTTGGTTCAAGTCAACTATATACTAACAACTCAGCTAAGAGTGGACCATCAAAACTTGAGAGCAAACGGCAAAATTAGGGTTACCTCCAATATACTAATAGACTCGATCAAACTAATAATGCAAAAAATTAGACACTCCTTATCTACCAGTCCGAGTAGGTTGAATAAAAAATAGACATACTTCAGTAAATCAATCAATGATTCCTCGTTTTAAGATATAAATAGGTTGTGATAGCTGCAAAAACCATAAACCTAAAGATCCAATAGCCACCACTTTCTGTTGTACAACCAAATGCTTATCCACTCTATCTTCAATCTCAAGAGGCATGTGTTTCAACCAAAAATTCAATTTCTAATCCACCTACTGCAACTTCATTTATTGAACTCCATTCTATTCCCCATTGATTGATATCAGAGTTGAAATCTTCTACTTGCCCAGTTTAAATCCCCAACAATAAAATCGTAGTGCCAAGAGATACCGGAAGATTATTTTCAAAGGCGGCCTTGTACTGGGAAGTGAAAGGGGAGCAAAATATTGCACGATGTATGAAATTTTGGAGGAAATTAGAAAGAGATAAGAACAAAGATAAAAACCACAAAATTTATATTTAAATTGAAAAATATATATGATAGACTTAGTGGGTTTGCAAATCATGATGGAAAAGTCCTCAGATTTTCAGAATTAGACACGTGTATGTTTAGTATTAAAAAAGATACAACCAATTTGTTTAGTGTAATTGGTTGTGATTGTTGTATTTGTTCGAAGAGACCTGAATACAAATCCTGATATTGAAATAAATAATTTTTTGTAAAGACCAAACTGTCCTTCCTGTTTTTACTTTCGTTGTAAGAAATTTGAAATGGAGAAAAATACACAAACTCTACGATGATGTAAACCAAGACTTAAAATTAAACCCTAATAAGCTAGGAAGCAAAGAAGGGACTTGTGGTTTGTTTGATGTTGGTGTTTCTAGAATTTTGTCGAATGTAAATGATCAATCATTATTCTAAAGTTTTAGGTGGGCATGAGAGTTTTTATCTGGGTTTTGGCATATATGCTTAGCATTTAGTTCTCAGTTTTGCTTGATTATACTGTGAGTGATGGTGATAAATTTGGTTGTTTTTAGAATATTTAATTATTTAGTTGTAATGTTATATTCACATTTTACGTGTACTCTATTCATATTAACCTATTATGTTATTCATTTGATTGGAGCTACACTTATTTTATGAAGTATTACTTGTTAGAAATTGAATTTGCCATTTGCAATTCACTAAAATAATCTTTTTAGATATCAAAGGTTGATAGAAATACATGAATTAATTTTGTAAATCATCTCGATTTTTATGCGGAAATTGTAGGACGATTTATGACCGGACGATACTAGCAACAACACGACTAGAGAGGTTCTGTGACTTTCCTCAACCAAGCCTCCTCGGTTCATCTTCCATGAGTTCTCTTATCTTCCTGAAAGAGAGAAGCAGAGAGTATGTTTTGACTTGGTGTGTTGGCTGGCTTATATCATAATCACCATGGGCTCCCATAAAACTAAATGTGAGTAAGTATTGGGTTTCCATCCATTGGACCCATGTTAAGTTTGAGTAATTATGAGCTCCATGTATGTATTGACCACTTGTGTTAGCCCATCAAAACCAAATAGCTAATATATATGTTGTGAATTTGGTAGCCTACTTAAGTTAGGAAATGGAATTTTTAACAATCTCCCACTTGGACTGTCTAATTTCACAAACACTTATATTACGAAATTCTTTAGGCGCGCTACCGTATGCTACTCGCACAATTATTGCTACTCTTTAATAATCTGATCCACCTCACGTATCAATATGAAATCAACATGACTTTAATTACGATACGAGTATGACACTAATTAAACCACCATGATCACTAGAATAGAACTAAGTTCTCTTACTAAAAAAGACCCTAACTTTTGCAAAGTTAAACAAGTTTGGGCATTTTCAGCCTCCACGACGAGTCACAAAGAAGGAGGTAGACTATCAAACCATACATATGATTGATTCCAAATCAAGGGTGGGTGGGTGGGCTTAAGAATGTGCCATACTGTTCCCCTTTTGAAGCTTTGAGCATGAATAAATTGTGGCTGTAGTTTAGTGGTTAGAATATCACGTTGTGGCCGTGATGACCTGGGCTCGAATCCCAGCAGCCACAAAATTATATTGGCAAAGTATATTGGCAAAGGTTTTAGTGGGTGCTAAGTTTGTTATTTTATGGCAAAATACACTTTTATAGTCATAACTATTCGCGTTGTGACAGATATAGCCACTTTTTGAAAAATACACTTGTATAGCCATTCCTTCCAAAACTTTAACGGCAATATCATAAATGTTGACTGTACTAACGTTTTCTAGTGACGTGGCGATTTTTTTGTTTAAATCAATCCTAGGTGAAAATTTCCTTTCTTATTAAGTTATTATTATAAACATGAAAATGTAAAAATAACAATAACAATAAATAAAATGGAAACCGTGCACGCCTTTTCATCTTCTTTTCCCCTTCTCACTAAAATCCCTCCACCATCACTTCAGATCGACGACGGCACCCACAAGCTCATTCTCCTTATCCCAGCGAACAAGAAAATGAAGAAGGTCGAGACCGTCGGCCAGGCAATCGACGACATCGGTGCCACCGTGTGGAAATCCAGCCCAGATCATCTCCCACGGTAGATATATCTCTAACGTTTCTTCCCCTGGTTATGATTCTGATTCCTCCAATAACGGCGGCGGGGGCGGGGCTCGTCTCTGCCGCTGAAACCCTATAGTAGGTACGATGGGCAATTGCTTGCTATGCAGAGCAACTTAATACCTATTGTAGAGAACCGGAGGATAAGGAGGGGTATGATGATTGGAGATTAGGGGTATGATGATTGGAGGATAAGGAGGGGTATGATCGAGAGGAGCTTCGTTGTGGAGGAGAAAAGGGACGAGATTGAGAAACTGTTGACTAAGAATGAAAAGCGATGGCGGTGCTGTCCGGAGCTGAAAAAGGTCGTCGATCCGTGGAAGTCAACCATCCAGATCTCGCCGCTGGGGAATTTTGCCTTAGAGCTAGGGAGGGGGCCACGGTAGGCAACAGGGATAACTTCTAGGAGAAGTAGAAAGCGGTGAGTGGGCAACATGGGACTGACGGCCGTTCCTATTCTTCTCTCCTCGTCTTGCTCGATCTGACCTCCCCTCACCTCTCGTCGGCGAAAATTCCAGATCTAGAAATTGAAGAACTCTAATCTCTATTGAAATTTCTCCTTGAAAAATTCCAGATCCATAAAATGAATAACCCTAATCGTTGCCGCCACCGACACCATTTTCACCATCAAATCCTCATTGAATTTTTTTTTGTTTTTTTAGTAAAATTATTTTTTTTGTTAATTTTTTTAATATGACCTGGCATAAAGACGTCCAGTTGGCGACGACGTGTCGTTCAGGTGGCATCCACCTTAGTGACACGTAGAGGTTATTGACGGTGTTAGTGACGAGGTTAAAGTTTGTAACGGAAATGGCTAAAGCTGTCAAGCAAGTTTGAAAAAGTGGCTATAAGAGTATATTTTTCAAAAAGTGGCTATATTTGTCATAACGCGAATAGTTATGGCTATGAAAGTGTATTTTGCCTTGTTTTATCAACCTTTTAAAGGACATCGAATCAATATAATTGGATGAATGATGTTTTGCGTTTAAGGACTAAAGCATAATATTGGAGGCACCGAATCTTGTGTAATGCGTCTTTCCCCCTCTTTTGTATTAGTAAGTATCAAATTTTCAACTTACTCAATTCAACTTTTGTGATACATTAATCATACAATAAATCTCAAATAAATTCACTTGGCAAGAAGGATTCTCCAACTGCACAAGTTCAGTAACACATCTCTCAACCTCTCTCGCCTCTCTTATCAAACCACTAATGCTAAAACCAATCACCCCCAATCCGAACATTGCCATTTCCCTCCCATTTCCTTCTTCATTTCCCACGTTGTTAAACTTCTCTACAATCTCTTTCACATGCCCCAGATAGCAATCCACAATGTTCCTTCTCTCATTTTCCCGACTTGCATCCATCACCTTAAATGCATTCTGATTCGGTAGCTTCCCTGATTCCAAATCACATCCGATGTCCTCGTTCTTCCTTTTCAAGTCTTCGTCAAGCATTGCAATGGAACACTTCAATTTCGTGACCTCCTCGAAACATTTTACAAACGGAACCATCGCATCTTTGAAGAATTTAAGGTCGACATCTAGGTTAGCCACAACACCATTTCGAGTATTTTCTGCTGCATCACAATCTCCGAGCCTGAGCGATTCTGATTCGATGAATCCAACCCCTAATTTGGCACTGAAGAGCAATAGATCCGCCATATTCGACAATGATACTAGCAGCTTGCCATAACAAGCACTGGGGAAAGGCAAAAACCAGAAGTTTGGTTCCAATTCAGCTTCCCCAACTAGTTTCCTCAGCTCTTCCACCTCAGATTTCAACCTCTTGTGGCTCTCCAACAATGCCGTGGATGCGTCGCCGCGGAGGCTTAAGAGGTCAACGGCCGAACCCAATGCGGCAAAACTTTCAGAGAGCGAAAGTTTAGCCAAAGAAGCGGCTCTAGTAGGGTGGAGCAGAAGATCCACGAAAATCGAACAAGATAGCCCGATGAAGGTCTCGATGATTCTCGCGATCGCAAATTCGCTCGGGGGGCCGAAGTTTTTCCGACCTAGTATGAGTATCGCTCCGATGACGGCGGAGATCCCACCCGCCTGGCCATACATCCGATTCCTGCGGAGGAAGCTGGTGATGACGAACCACGGAAGCAGAGACATGAACCTGACAGGTAAAAACCGTTCGAAGACGAAGCAACCCACGACGCCATAGACAGTCCCCAACACGGTGCCTTGTGCTTTAACATTTGCGACGGTGAACGTCGCTTCTCTGACGGTGGCGGCCAAGCTGATCGCCACGGGGAGACCCGACCAGTACCCGTTTTCCTTGCTGTACATCAACCCAAACAGGACAGCCATGCCTAGAGAAACGGAGCATTTGACCGCCGGCAAAACTCTGTTTTTGCTGCCGAAGCTCACACTCTTCCAAGCATTCAACAAGAACCCATTTCCCTTCGATGGAGGAGTACTTGACCCTTCCTTTGCTTGTTCGACGGCGACCGGTTTTGCTTCGGGTGAAGATATGCAGACAAGGTGTTTGACACATTGACAGAAGAAAAATGATGGCAGATCGGCAGGGCTGGTTGGGATTGTTCTGGTTATCTTCTCAAGCGAGCTCGTGACATCATCGGCATTCGATTCGGGGACGGTGGGAGAAGAATCGGAATGGAAGGAATTCGTTCTGGCCACCTGCTTGATTGCTCGAGTGATGTGTTCTTGTAACTGCAACAAGCTTTGTTTGGATTCTCCGTCGGTGAACATCGAGGAGCTGCTATTAGCAGTAGTGTCAGCTACTAAACCCATTTCCATTCCTCTTAGAAGCATCTCAACTTCCTGCAACTTGGGTACGGGGCTCGGCGGAGGACTCTGCCGGAGCAGGATCAAAGGAAAAGTTTCCCATCTCATGCTTTCCTGTTCATAGGTAATGATAAAGGGCGTTGAGACAAAATTTATGGATGCTCAATGGATTAATTTAATTTATGATGATATGGATTGATTAATTGATTAATTAATTAATTACCTGGTGGAGCCTAATCTTTTGGAGGAATTTGGGTGCATCAGAAGCCAAAGCTTTGGCTCTGGTGAGGGAGGCAGAGGCTGAAGCCTTATCATCGGCGCAAGACGCTTTCACGTATAATTTCAGCCTCTCGGAAGCATTTTCAGCCGCCAGCTTGCAGTTTTTCTTCACCTGCAATTAATTAATTGTCCGACGATTTGTAAGACATTTAGGATTTCTAGAATAAAAAAAACAAAGGCTCAAAATAAACGTTTGTAAATTTCAAATGAATACACATATGATATCGTCAAAATACAACCGGACACATTGGAATCTCAAAACATGCAAATAGTATGGAAACATTGTAATAATAGAATCAACAGAAATTTTTTATAAATGAAAATACTGGATCTTTGTAATTGTAACATATATATATATATATATATATATATATATATATATATATATATATATATATATATATATATATATATATATATATATATAGCGAGTTCTACGGTACCCAGGGTGAAATCCGGGGTACCGCATACCTTGAGTATGAAAACGTTATCCAGACCTTGAATTGACTAATCTTTCGGACATGATACTATACTCTAACCCTTAAAGATCAAAATCTAGGTCTTAATTCTCTAAATCTTATACTCCAAGATCAATTTAATTAGAAAAATTAATCGACGGTTATGATTCGTCCAAATATAGGCAAAAAAATCAATGCACCATCTTAGGGTTTATAGTTTATGGTTTATATAATTATGACCTAGGATTCACTAATTAAGGGTTAGGGTATAGTATCATGCCCAAAAATCCTGCTAATTCGAGGTCTAGATAGCGTTTTCATACTCAAGGTATGTGGTACCCCGGGTAATTATGACCTAGGATTCACTAATTAAGGGTTAGGGTATAGTATCATGCCCAAAAATCCTGCTAATTCGAGGTCTAGATAGCGTTTTCATACTCAAGGTATGTGGTACCCCGGATTTCACCCGGGGTACCGTAGAAGGCACCATATATATATACAAATCTATCAGCAACATCATCTTGATGTTGCACCTACCGCAACAGAGGTGGCATCTTCGATAGCCCCTCTCAAAACCGTTTTTCCAAAAACCCAAGAGGTGGTGGTTGTCCAAGCCCCTCAAAATCGATTTCAAACGTATTTTAAGAAAAACACTTTTCAACCCATTTTCGTTGTTGAAGATGGTTTCTACCATCAATATCCAAATGTTACTGCCAAACATTTCCTCAATGAGTGGTTCTTCAAACCAAGATCCCTCAATATGGTACAAAAGGAGAAACTATACTTTGGCAAAGAATCTAGCCTTATCAGATCTTGCAAATCCCCTTGGAGTTGTTCTGCTTTCTATGTCATTAATAATGCAGAAAAGGAACGTGGCGTTCCTCGTCTTGTTATAAACTACAAACCGTTGAATAAGGCTCTGAAGTGGATTAGGTATCCTATCCCCAACCAAAAGGATCTACTCCAGAAACTTTCACAGTCCCTAATATTTTCTAAATTTGACATGAAATCTGGATTTTGGCAAATCCAAATCAAAGAAACAGACCGCTATAAAACTGCTTTTACCGTTCCCTTTGGCCAATATGAATGGAACGTCATGCCGTTTGGTTTAAAAAATGCTCCCTCAGAATTTCAAAGAATTATGAATCAAATCTACTCTCCTTATTTTGATTTCATAATAGTTTATATTGATGATGTGCTGGTTTTTTCTTCGTCCATTGACCAACATTTCAAACATCTCAATTTATTTCTTGAAGTTACTCGACGTAACGGTCTAGCTGTTTCTAAACCAAAACTTTGTCTTTTTCAAGACTGACTATATATATATGTGGTGACTACTTCGGTGTACTCACAAAAATGAGTGCATTCAATGCATCAAACTCAAAAACTAGTCTTAAGGTGTCGGATTTTGAATTTTAATTTGTAGAATTAGTGTAATATGATAACAACTAATTAGCGGATTATCCTAAGCCCTAGACCTCCAATTTTGAGTTCTAGCCCTAAACCCCAAATTGTAAACCCTAACCCTAAATCTCTAAACTCTAAGTCCTTCAAATTAAAGTAAATCTTCAATGGTTTTTGTGCAAATTCATGTGCGTTATTGTTCATCACATCATAAGTGATGATCGACATCATTTTGACATAAATCGCATGTTTAAAATGACAGTTATGAAGCGAGTGCACTGAATGCACCCCAAAAAAGTGAGTGCACCGAAGACGCCACCATGTATATATATATATATATATATATATATATATATATATATATATCAACAGTGAAGAATACTATACTCCAAGAGGATGGTGTATTTCGGGTTATCTACCTGTTAAATTTATTTCGATGAGTTCCAACCAATTTAACGATCAATTATTTGTTTCTATTGAATTACACATCAGGTTTGAATTTAGAAAATCGAATCCTGAAATTTATTTGTTAAAAATCAGCGTATAAATCAGCGTATAGTATCATATTCCAAACTCAACCTAATAGATAGAAATATTTCATTAACAATACCTGAAATATAATATACTCAATTATCAAATGTGATCGATATATATCTATATCATATCGTCAAAATATAATAATATACACATTATAATCTCAAAATACAGTTAGTTTCGTCACCGACCGCGATGGCTTACGACAAAGAAGAAGAAAAAACGTTGCATGTGATAGTACTGCAAGATCTTATAAATAACAATGTGAGATCATAAACTTGATCCTCTTGGAAGTTGGAATTATAAAACGTGTTAGTTAAGATGACTCTAAAACGAACACGTGTTTGCGATGGATAAATATGCAGAGGAATGTTGTTGAACGTACGTACATAAATATTGACTCGAAAAATCCAACACTGAACAATATGTTTTTGTCTCAAGCAAAACATATTTTTAGCTTTTATTTACAAAGGTCACGATCGACCCAACAAAACAAATAATATTGTTTTCGCCTTTTCGGTGAATTAGTTAATTACTGTGGCATCCTTGCATGCGTCTTAGTGCACTGCTTTTTGTCTGGGCTACTGGATCCTCATATATACCAACTTAATTAAGTGGATGCCATAAGATTCATGTTAAATAGCTAGTGGGAATCACAGACGACCTAATTGCCTATGATGTCAACCACAACATTCACTAATTAAGCCCTTAATATATACACAAATATTTAAGGGTGTGTGTTTTAAATGCACTCACTCTTTTCTAATACATACTATGCATACTTTTTCTTCTTCTTCTTCTTCTTCTTCTTTATATTTGATGTTTTCACTTTCCAATTCATCTGAAAATGATAAGTTTGTGGGAAAACAATTGCCAAATGTTTCTAAAATTTGCTATAGATCACAAACTCGTGTAATTATTCATATATGGGAAAAATATGTGACTAGCTATAATGAATCAATAGTAATTTCATATCAATTAATTACGTTAGATAAATGTTGGCGATAAATATTAAAGCTCGATATTACTCAAATTGTATTACTAGCAGAGTTTATAAGTCACATACTCAGTTTTGTAGGTGCATCGATTTTAAGAATAATCACAAAATAAGTAGCGGTTATTATTATTATTATTATTATTATTATTATTATTATTTTCGTCCATAAATAAATAACTAGACATCTTAGTTCAAGAATGACATGAAAATCATATAACTCATGTACCATTGAAAATGTGAAGATATGGAGAGTGACATATTTCTATACAAATTCATACTTAAACTCTATTGTTGATAAAATCCAAATTTGACTCGGTTAACGTAACATTATTAACTACTCCATTTAAAAAACCTTACTATTACTCTGACAAAAAAGAATATTTACAACTTCCAAGGAAGAGATCATCATATTTTTAAATAAAAAGGAGTTTAATTCAATTAATAATTAGTTAATTACCTCCCAGCAGGCCAATCTCGGATATGGCAGCAACAGAGCTAGAACACAAGCCACAACCCCGACGGCGGTGCTGGCCGCCACATGCAGCGGATGCATGACCGCCTGCGTCTCCACCCCGTTAATATAGCCCACCACGTAGACGATCACAATCTGGCCCAACGCGATCCTCTTTGCCACCACGTGGGTCCCTTCCGGCATCGCCACGACGAACGCGTTCACCGCCACGACCAGCGAAATGGTTGCCCCGCTGAACCGGCCCGGTCCGACCATCCAGAACGTGAGCACGGCCGGGCAGACCGTCTGGACCGTGGCGTAGAGCGCCAGCCAGCAGCCCCGCAGCGCGTCCCCCAGGGTGGCGTCGGTGACGATGAGAATCACGGTGACGTAGGAGAAGGCCGGGAAGGCCACCTGGCGCTTGAAGGCCGCGGGCCCGTAGAGCGTGGCGCAGCCCACGATGGTGCAGGCCAGCGCGGTCCGGAAGGCCGAGGCCAGGCACCGCTGCCACACGGCTCGGGCCCGGGCCGAGCCCGCGTGGTTGGGCAGCATTGGCATGTTGGGAGCTGAAGGTGGGGCGGGCAGTTGGGTTTTATGGTGAAGGAGAGGAGGAGCGAGGAAGGTAATGGAGAGCTTAGGGAGAAGGGTTTTGTGGGAGTGGGTTATTTATAGAGACGAGAACTAGCTTATGGTTATTATAGTAATGAAGGTGCGGCGTCAGCGCGTCAATAGTGGCAGCCGTGAAATAATTTAATCAACAAGTCACTGTGTGTGTGACTCGAATTATCATATGCTGATATATATGCATGGAGCATTACTTTGCTATGGGTGGCAAAAAAAGAATTTCGGGGAATATTTTTACATGGTGGGAGAGGACAAAATAGATGAGCACGGAAAGATACGGAAGGAGAGATGGAAGAAAGAAAAGAAGTCACTGTGCAGAAAGGAAAAAACAGAATACAAGTCAAACAACTTGGACGGGAGAAAAAAAGCAGTAGTAGCGGCGCAGGCTGATAAAGAAGGGGGGCTCAATGTAGAGTCGGAAAGGCAGAAAAATGGCATTAGAGGATGGAAGTCCAATGTGAGACTGGGTGTAGGCTAGAGTAGTAGTGTTGCAAGTACGTTTAACCTTTCCGCTCATGCATGCTTCAAACTTTCACAGGTCTTCATTGGAGGAGTTTGGATGAAGTCAAATTACAAGTAAAAAGCCTCCATCTACCCAATTAGCACGGTTCAAGTCGGGTCGCTCATTCAGATTACTAATTTTTGACTTTTTAGATTAACCAACCAACCTTTATAATCCCTGCTACATTCACCTTGTCGAGAGAGTTGTCAACAATTAGTTTCTCGTTTTATGTGATTAAATTAGTATGGCCACTTATAGTAGCATAGTCAGGAGTTTTGCTAAGGAGGGTCCATACTCCAACTTAAAAAAAATGATAACATAATTTACATCGATGTTTTACAGTGATCCACAACGTGTTTTCATATTGTTTAAAATACATTCATCATCCAAATTATCAAGAATATATATTGGCTTCAATATAACCCACCAAAAAATTCATTGCAGAAAAAATGCTCTTTTGACAGTGGCAACATGTAGCAACAATCCTAATTTCATTAGTTGAAACAATGAAAATATATGTTATTTTGACACAACCATTTGCCTAAAAAGTTCAACCATTTCTTTAATTATGTAAACCTCTCAACTATCTTCATATAAAATATATAAGTATCTAGTTGATGAAGGTCAAGATGTAAGATCTCATCTTTGGAGAACTCATTAGGATAAAAGATAGCAAGCTCCAACAACTTTTTTTTATCATAGTTAACAAATGAATCATCTAGATTATATTTAAGCATGCCACACAATATAGCAATTAAGTGTTAACATCATCGAAGTGACTATTAAGCTAATGTAACTGCATATTAACGACTGTATAAAATAGATCAATCTTGTAACGATGAAGATTAGAGATTTTTTAGCATTTCTTCTTGGTCTCCTAAGAGGAAAGTATAGATCATCCACATTGACAATATAAGGAGATCTCTTGTTGCAAAATGAAAACACGTTATGAGAAAAAGAATCAAATCATTTATCTCTCATCTCTTGTAATCTAAACTTTTCTCCATGAAGATGCATAAGCTTTTGCATCATAATTTTCCTCGCATATGATGACATTCAAACACAATAACAAAAGAATATATTCGAGTCAAGTTAAAAAGTGTGTCATGATTCCCAACGAGTATCACAAGGCATTTTGAAGCCAACTTCTTTATTCAATCCTCGTCCAGTCTCAAGTTCACCAGGACATAAAATCTCAACAACTTTAGTTGCTTGACATTCTCGAATTTTATCCATTCTACAAAAATCAAAATCTTGAACCCATTAATTTTCCTACTCATATTGCTAGCCTCATAATAACATTGTCCCCTTATTTCCTACAAGCTCAACCCATTTGTCACAGGCATGGATTCAATTTCGAAATTAAGGGGTCGTTTGGAAGTTGTGATTGTTAAATAGACGTATTGTTGAGAATGGATGTATAATATTATGCATGTATTTTTCGAATTTGATGCATTGTAGAATACAACGTTTGGTATGTGTGATTGTGTATGTCGCATCAGCTAAAAGCTGAGACAAAACAATCTCAACTCAACTATCTCAACAATCACAACTAAAAGTTGAGATATAACAATCACTCAAAATGAGTGATAGTTTCTGTCACATCATAGAAACAATCCATGTATTGTTTCTGCTAAAAAAACAAAAAAAAAAAAACGATGCATTGTAAACAATACATGCATAATGACAATCTCAACAAAACTATCGCAACTTGCAAACGAACCCTAAGTGTCAAGACTTTAGTATCCGCAACATGAGTAAAACACATAATCATGGACACTAGACCACTAATCATATTGCATGCCTCATGCTTACTTGCCTCTCATAGATAAGCAGGGGCGACTGATAACGTGTGTAGGAGCCAGGAGGCCCTCAATAACACACGATCTCAAAATATTAAGGTCCTCTAGCATAGGTATATATAGTTGATTCTAAAATAGGACCACACATACTATATTGTAGTTGTGGCATTTTTATTTTAATATAAAAAATAATTTTGGTCCACGTCTTGATTCTGAAATAGGACCACGCATACTATATTGTAGTTGTGGCTTTTATGTATTATGAACATCAACAAAACCCTAGTATGGAGGATATAGATGGTGTGTTTGTCATACACATCAACAAAACTGACAATGCCACAGCCGGGATCAATCATTTGAAGAGAAGATTTAGAGAAGCTGGTGATATACTTAGATATCAAATTTTCATACTCATATAACAGACTTTCAACAAGTGAACTATCTTTGTCAAAAAAAAAAAAAAAAAAAACAAGTGAACTATGACTCAATCCAACTTGTTGGCCACAAAACCATGTGTGACTTACATTATTTGGATTCACAAATATGTCTCTAACCCTTATATATCGAAAGGATTGTGAATACTGGAGGATGTACCAGAAAAGTCAGCTATAAAGTATTTTGTGATTAAATTGTAGTTTTACAAGTTTCATACCGCTAAAACCGCCTACAAATATAGATTTTGATAGAAAAATTTTCTTATCAAACCACAACTATAGTACGCACGGTTTCACAAACACGGATATATCCCAATTACCATATATACCATGTAAAGGAGACTCGCAATGGAGGACCCTGGAATCATGTCTATTCGCCTGCCCAACCCGAAAAAGAATGTTTTGACACATATGAATGCAGTAGGCCAAACTCAACTGAGCTCACAAACAAAAGCTGATCAGTCAAGTTGAAGCTAAGTTAACAAAGAGAAGTCAAAGCAACAGTCATATTCTCTTGCACATAGACAACGATTTTCATTTTCATAAATTAGTGAGAAACAGACCACAAACAAAATACTACTGAACTGAATTAGCCGATTAACCATATTAAAGAAGAATTCGTCACCAACCCACATCAACTAAACTCGAAACCGAGGGAGAGGAGTACTTAGTGGAATTTCTGTAGATTTCCACCAAACTTTATACGCAAAAAGTATACATATTTAGCTCCCTGCATTACATTCGGGTGAAGGGTTTGTGCTCTTTGGGAAGGGGGAAGGGTCAATTTCAGGAGGATAGTTGGATGTTACTTTGGTGCATCTATCAATTAGTTTAGTTAAAGCTAGGGCAAATGATTCTCTTCCATTACTCTACTATGTAGCTCCTTTCATGGTAAAAAAAATTCTGAAATTGAACTTGAAATAGCTAATTATGTAACGACTTCATCCATAGAAAAATTTGGTGGAATGATGAGATGGATTTCATGGATATACCTAGGGTTGGGTATTGGTTTTAGTTTTCCAGTTTAAACCAAAACCAAACTGAACCAACAAGGAACATGTTGGTTTCAGGTTTTTAGTTTCAAACCGGTTTGAGCAGAGCTTGAGCAGAAACATGTTCAACGGCTTCGGCGGGTGCGGTAAATCTGCGCAATAATAAGAAATCCTGGAAGCAAAAGAGCAACGGAGGCAAGCTCCGATTAATCTCTTCTTCAACAACGACCATCTAACCGCCCATTTTTCTCCGACCACCCAAAACACTACGTAGCACCACTTCCCGTCCGTCGACAGGTCTTCGCCACCGGCCAAAAAGAGAAACAGGGGAAGTGAAGAAAATGGTAAATTGATTTCATCCACCAAATACTATCTATCCATTGAGATAGTTCACCTCAGTCATACATTGTAGAGGTAATTTAATTTTCAGTAGATTATCTAGCTAGCACATAAGATATTTGAGTCTCCTAGCTTGTTTCCACCATATTGATTAGTACCTAAGATGTTCGTTTAACCTATTAACTCACTTAAATATCAATTTTAAAATTTATTAATCCAAGCTTGATATCAATTACCCTGCTCCATTCCAAGAAGAATGTGAATTGTTGTTAGTTTTCTGGAAGATGCCATTTGACGTTAGCTATAAAAACAATTAAAAGTATTTGTCTGTTTTGCTTTGGTAATTAGTCACCCTCGACTTTTTTCTTAGAAAGTTGGGTTTTAGGATTTAATGGGACGAGCATAGATCGCACAACCATCAACTTTTCGTTGTAGTAGCAGTAGGATGTCATCAAAAGAAAGGTACAATACCTAATTTTCGGAATTTGGTGGGATCCAAGTCGTCGGCCTTTTCTCGACCATAAGAAAACCCCATGAACGAAAATGACCCACGGAAGAAAGAAAAAAAAAGAAAAAGGAGCTACCTACCAAAGGCCGATATTCCTTTCGAGCCAAGAAATTTGTAACATTCCAAATCTTTTTTTACAAAATATTGTCGGTTACGTACCATAAGATCACCCATCCTTGTATTGTTCCACAGTGAGCACGTTTAACTCCATAATTCTTACAAAACTTCTCTATTTCACCCTCAAAATCCATTTTATCAGTTAAGATCGATTTTTTACTTATAAATCATGTATCTCTCTCGTACTTTGTCGATGTGGGATTCGCCTAAAGTATTACCTAATTAGTGTCAGAGGAAAAAGGGAAATTCATAATTAGATGGTTAACTTGTACATCAAGGTAAATGGAACAGATCAGGGGCCAACACTCTACGATCAAGTGTCTTCTACTTCTTGATCAGTAATAATGTTGCATCATCAATTCATCATTAACACACACAAAAAGTGTTATATTTCTTGGAAGGAAAGGTTTATCCAAGGGCGCCAGAGGACACAGGAGGCTATTTTCATCCAAGCTTTGTATCAAGGTATGAAGGTAAATGGAACATATGAACTGAAGTCCATAGAGTTGTTTGCATCGAAACATGAATCTGATAGCAAAGAATACAAATGGGTTATGAATGATTGCAAATACAAATGGAATCTGGAATGAATAGAAATGGATGCTGCATGCCCACAGGATATATACAAATAGATTGGCATGAATATGAATATGGGCAGGAATGAATTGAAATGAAACCCTAATAGCCAAGCTCGTCGGGTAGGTTGAATTCATGCCTTTTGACTTTTGGAAGCTTCAACAAAACTACCTACCTAGTGACAAAACAAACGTATGATTTTTGTCAAGTTTGAACAATTAAAACTTCCTACTTAGTGACAAAACGTACGTATGTTTTCTTTTCCCTGACTTGTAACTTGGGTTCTTTGCTACACATTCTTAGCTTATTTTAACAAAAATATCTTTGAATCAAATTGATGCATGAAACTCTATGCCTAATGCGAATAGTGGCGGATCCAGGAATTCTACATAGGGTGTCCTCCCCAAAAATTAAATTTAATTAAATATTAGAATTAAATCATGGCAAAAGTTTTTAGCCGGTTTACCCCGTCTCTTAGGAGATAAAATCCGAAACAAAATCCAAGACACTTTTAATGGTCAAATTCCTTATGAGCAACTTACTTACGGAGAACTTATTAGCTTTATACAAAAGGAAGGATTATAAATTTGCCATGATTTAAAACTTCAAAAACATATCAAACGCAAACAAAAACTAACTCGAAAAGAACTAGGATCTTTTTGTGCTCAGTTTGATGAATCTTACTCAAAAATTTCTTCCAAATCTAACTGTAGGATTGTAGCAACAAACCTCATAAAAAACATCGTGATCGTCCCTACCGATCTTTTAAAACCACGAATCAAAAATCTCATTTCTCTAGGAATCCCCGCCCAGATAAGGGACCACGATCTAACAATGAAAATAAAAACATTACTTGTTTCCGTTGTGGAAAAACAGGTCATATTTCCAAATATTGTCGTATAAAAAAGAAGCTCAATGAGCTTAATCTTGATGAAGAGATTCATGACAAAATCAATAATCTTTTTCTCCAACACTACTCTTCTCATGAGGATTCTTCTTCTTCTTCTTCTGATGATGATG